AGGCATGGCATTCATGCTGACCGCCATTAAGTCCAGTGGACGAGCGGACGATTTCACGTCCAATGCTGGATTCGTGTCACGATTGTGAAAATCTCCCCCGTCTCAAACGACTGGAGAGAAAGCACTGGCCGCCTTGAGGCCAGTTCCACTGCCTACAAACTCTGCAGCTGCTTCGTCACAGCCGGCGCGAGTGTACGGAGACTGCCCGGCAGCGATCACGCCGCTTCGAACCAGGGGTATGCTCAGTGGGCAGAGCGCTTCGGAGAGCTTTCGTCAGCGAGTGGCTGAGCGTGTGGGTGAGCCTGTGACTGTTGAGTGGGGAGCGGTAGTGGAGCGGTTCGCACACATTGTGGTGTGCCAAATTCGATTCCCGCTCATGGCCAACACCAGTGACGATTATCTGAACCGGTCCTGGGCCTCCCCTAGGTCGACTCAGCCTCAAATTAGTACCCGGTGCGGTGTGTAAACATCGCCACTGGGGAGACAAAGGCGGTCGGGTGTGGTGCTGGCCACCCACCCCCTCGTGTACCGTTCCGGCCTTCATAGGTGCTCGCTAACAGCACTTACCCCTACAGTCTGCTAAGGCTATATGGGGGATCTTTGTCTTGTTGAGTGGATGAGTGTGTGACTGTTGTGACCTGCCGTGTGCTGCTTGAACACGGCTTGGATGAGACAAAGTCCTCAACATGAGTGTATATTTTGATTTATAGCTTTCGTGACTGCAGGGATTCATATTCTGGGTTCTTTCGGTAAATGTCACGTAGAAGGGAAACAATAAAATAATAAAAATATAAAACAATATTTTTAAAAAATAATAAAAATATAAAACAATATTTTTATTATTTTATTGTTTCCCTTCTACGTGACTTTACCGAAAGAACCAAGAATATGAGTGTATATGTTGTAATTAATTCTTGTCAATCTTGGAGTCACTAGAGACACGAAATTCGCCACGAATGTAAATATATATTCGTCTAATTGTTTTAATGCACAGTGCTTGCGTGTGCACACGTGTGGATGTCAATATGAAAAAAATGTGCTCACTGCACCCACAATCATTTCGGAGCAGAACTGGTGGTGTGCACGACTCAGCACGCCTTGACGTAAGGCTGGAAGCCACACGGAAGAATTGGCACGGCCTGCTCTGCGCTGCGTCTACCGGTGCGCGCATGCCACTACACGCGCGGTGTGGGCACTGCTAGACTTAGCGGCACTATCGTGTGATTCCAACTCTGCTGCAGCTCGTCTGCGTGTGAATGTGAGTGAAACAACACTTTTATGCGATTCACATCTTCTTTCCTTTTCAAGCCGGCTTAACGCTCGTGCCTCACAGCAAGAAAATTCTCGGTTGGATTCTCGATTAAAGCGCCTTTCTGCGTGCAGTTTGCATGTTCTTCCTCTGTTCTGCATGGGCTTCCTCTGGGGTCCCCTGTTTCCTCCCTAGCTAAAAACGTTAGATGTCATTAGAGTTGGCCCAATAATCGTGATGCAGGTAAAAACAATTATTTTCTACTCAAACTAGACTTGAGCCAGCGCTGTTCTCCAGGGGGGGGGGGGGGGTGGGGGTGAATATCTATAAGAAAACCACCGTTGACTTTGTCACAACACGGTACCTATTTTATTGACCCAGAGGGATGATGGACTGAGTCAACCCCTAACCGGAATTCACAGTCTTCCAAATGCAAGCCACTCACTCTTCCGTTGTGCCACCTGGCCGATTACAATGCAGAATCCTCCTGAAAAAAGAGGCTTCAGACTCGTTGTGGCTTTCCTGGGTAAATAAGTACAAAAAAAATCACAATCACAGGTGTGACCGACAAAGAACACAGATTGGGCACGCATGCCAGAGCGCACTGCAGCCTATTGCTGGACCTGCATGGTGCTACAGGAAGCCATAGCAGGTGCAAGCCATTTATATTTAAATAAATAAGCAAACACTGCAAACATCTTTAATGCAGTGGACACGACGAGTCTTCCTGAAAAAAGCTGCCGGAACTTGTGTCTTGGATAAAGACGTAAAACCGTGAGAGAGTTCTGTGTTGCGTGAAATATATATTTATATACAGTACAGGGGAGTGAAGAGTCTGCCGACACCAGCGGGGTGACCCACGAGGCATAAATCTTTGCCCGTGGCTCTGTGGGGCCGAGGACGCCGGCGAGATGAGGAAATGAACCAGACACGAGAATTTCCACCGCTGTCACCTCCATTACAGAACGATTCTCGGTCACAGCACAAACTTTTAAGCGGTTGCTTTAAATATATATACACTTACAATAGAAGCCTCTTCACAGCGCAAGACCCAGACACCTTTTGACGATCACTTCTGCTTTTGAGCCAATGTACACAGCCGTGTCTATCGGTTTATACACGAGCACTTAGAGGTGGAGTAAAACTAGTAAAAGTGATTTCCTGCTCAAATGAGCATTTATGCCATGCTCATCTGTTTACAACCCTGTGGAGCCATTGGTGGAAATTACACATTCCTTTGGCGGGAGTGAGTATATCCATCGGACAACCACTGTTTACTTCCACACTCGACCTCTCTGGGACGATGAGTCAACGTCCGTCCAGGATTTGAATTCTCGCAAAATCCCCGATTGTGAGGCAGTCACTCGACCACTGAGCCACCTGAAAAGAGAACTCAGAAGCAGAGGGGGTCAACGATAGTCACGACGTTTACTTTCCACGTCCTTTACCTCGTGCTGATGAGGGTTTTTAAGATGCAGTGAATACGCCTGAAGTAGAAATAAGCTACGTGTGGCAGATTTAATCCATTGAGAGTTAGGGCACTCCTGTAAGTGCAGATATCATAGCACACGATGCCAGTAATGCCTGTTACAAATGCGTTGCTATATTTTTAGAAACTGTAAGTTATAAAGTATGTGAATAAAACGAGTGCAAGTTTGATTCCAACACCAACATCTGAATGAAAGTAAACCAATCACACGGTCCGTGTCCACACACCATTACAATATCCCCAGGGCACAACGCTCTACGGTGGTGTGGATTAGATTATAGCATATATATATTCAACAAGTGTTGCAATGCATTATCCATTGAAAAGTGTAAACATATGGTAAAGTGGTTTAGGCCAGATAAAAGTATGCCTAACAGTGCCGAAAAGAGAACACTTTTTCACTGCATCCCAACACAAGCTGGGTTCGGCTTTCCCTCTCTATGAATAGCTTTCCCTACGAGGAGCCGTTGGAGCACAGTCGTGCGACTTCACACTTTTGTTGCACACTAAGCAGCTGGGCTGGTAACACCGATTGCCGGCAAAACAGGAGCCACTACCAAGACAGCCCAGCACGAGAGGCTGCCACTGCCGTTAGTGCTGCCGCTAGCGCTGCCGCACTCCACCAACTATGCTATAATTTCTGCTTCAAACGCACAACGCTGTGTGTGATGTGGCCTGATGGAATTCGACAGGATGCTTTACAAATCTTTCTCATGTGGTCACGCCGACCATGGGACTTTCGCTTGGTTTCACCAAACGGATGGCGCAAATCTCGTGACAAGCACCCAGCGCTCCACTCACTTTAGGCTCTGACAGCGAAGCAGACGATTTAATTCTCGAATTTGTGTCTGGCACGCATGGAGTAACGTGTCGTGAGTCACGCATCACAGAGTCATGTGTCAACGTTGCAAGGCAGTGACATCTCGTTCAGTGTATGGGCACTCACAGCAACAGCGATGCCAGCTAGCAAAACTGAGGCCACCAGACAGAGACGTTGCAACAAAAAAACAAAACAAAGACAACTTCACTCATGAGAGTCAGAGAGCGTCAGGGTGTCTCCCCTGCTCATACAATCTCCTTCCTATTGAAGGTCTTGTGTAAGTGGTGGACGTTCCACATTCCTATGGGGTGCACCAGTTGCTCTGCGAACAATGGGGTGGAGTGAAGCTGCAACGTTGAACGCTCGTCCTACCAACTGCGAGTTGAGAACTGCCAACTTAATAGCAGTGCCAAGAAATAATAATATAAATAATAAGTAAAGTTTAGTTTACAAGCTCTGGAGGCTTCAAGTGCAATTTGCGTTTCAGGGGCCACTGTATAAATTGTTGACGTGAGTGCTAGGAAGGCAACATAACCAAATTATCCACAATGGATTATTTAATCAAAAGCGATGGCATGTTTTTTTCAGAATCTATATTTTTTATAACCAGCGACTTTTTTTTCCACATTGCATGCATTTATTTACACGAGAAATATTTATGTTGAATAGTTTCATGTTAAAACATAGTAACTTTAGAATACAAGTATAATTAAATGGTTTGAACTGCCTTGCCTAATTAACATCCTCATTGACAAGTGGAATACAGTTTACATAATTTTTCAGTGGGGAAAAAGGCTATATCTGCAGAAAATCACAGCAATTTCCACCAAACATTAGAAGAAAATACCTTCTTACCAACATGAACATCATGCCCATCGTTCAAATAAAACGTTTAAATAAGAAGCAAAGTTTAACATGTGCTGTAGATCAACCTCACCTTGTTTGGAAAGTCTACCGTGTTGTCCAACGGTGCATCTGGCCTCTACCATAATAAGTTCGGAGTTTCCACCACTGGCTAATAGCAAATAATAGAGACGAAGGCCGTGCCATGCTTGTTCAAGTATTCCATTCGTTAACAGAATTGGCCAAACATGCCAATACAGGGCCATCAGGTAAAACTGCCTTCAGACTCGGTGAAGATTTTATGGGCAAAAACGAGGCATTATTGTTATTCATCATCATCGATCGATCCACTGTTGGATGAAGGCCTCCCCAATCCATTGCCATATCACATTATCCTGCAAGATAATAATCCACCTAGAACCTGCACACAATCTGATTCTATCACTCCGTCTCCTCAATGGATATCTTCTAGAACGAGTTCCATTCCTCGGCTGCCAGGTCGTAATTGCTCTTGACTGTCGGCTATCGTTATTTTGTATCGACGTGACGTGGCACAACGTAAACGTAAGAAGCCCTGCTGTGCGCGTGCGTGCCGCCAGCTGGAGGGGTTCATCCAGGACAGCGTGCACAGCGAGACGGCGCAGCAGCAGCAGACAGCCGTGCACAACCAGACGGCCGCTATGCTGCAGATCGGCACCAGCCTGCTGAGCCACACGGCTGAGCAGACGCGCAAGCTCTCCGACGTGGAGGCGCAGGTAAGGGGGCAGGCGCACTGCGCCGGCCAGACCACCTCTTCCCGGGCTGTTCAGCAGGAGATGCTGCGAGCTTCAGTTCCTCGAGGGGCTCCCAGAGTGTAGATACAATTATCGCACATTGTGCCCAACGCTATGCGGTACAACCCGAAAACACATCGGAGAGCCGAAGAGCAGCACTTGCCTATCCCGGTGAACCCAACTCTAACCCATTGCACAGCTTCACTGTCAAGGCCACAAAACCTGGTGCACGGATAAGTTGGAACGTATTGCCTTTAATCAGAATGGTTATGCCATGCTACGGAGGGTGCTCGATGTTTACGGTGACTATTCACTGTCGCAAAATGCTGCTCTTCCCAAACACTCCAGTAATGTCCAGCCTGCAGTGCTAGTCTGTGCAGTTGGTGTGAGTGCATAGTCTGCACCCTGAGCAAGGCTAAAAAAGTACATGTCACTTCAGTGGTCTGGACACAAACCTCTACACCCTGACACTGAAAGCAAAAATAATCCGCATTCACATTCCATTCCCTGCATCGCAGGTAAGTGACCCAACGAAGCTTGGAGAGCTAAAGCAGAGGACTTAAGATTTATTGTCTCAAAAGACAGAGGGTGTCTATATAGCACACAAACCCACAGAGAGCGACGTACCAAACACAAACTATTGGACATATGCAACAGCTTGTTGTGACAGCACAGCCACCTTCTGCAGTCGTCGGTTCCAGCAAGGGAACTTGTGCAAGTGGTTTAGCAGATACGTCATAACGCAGCTGCTTAAAGAAAAAAACATCACGTCTAATAATGGCATCAAAACGCACAAGCGTGAAAATGTATTAACTGCACTCACGTCTGCACAAAGCGGCGCGGGCATGGCTGGATACATTTTTCACTCGAGTTAGGTCGGACAACATAATTTATGTATGTCATCTACACTTACATGAGCGCATAATAAATCATCCTTTCCTCCGCTCGACAGCCATAACTATTAGCACAATCACGCCGCACCTGCCTGCAGAATTCATTACAGCGTAATGCGCTTGGACACTGCGCATATACAGCGCTGCACAGTCCAATGAGCCTCTGATGCATACGTGTGTGTGAGTTATACTATCTGAGCCGCTGCATAGTTCAAAATGACTGATTTTCTTACACATTCATTGCAAATTTAAATGTACAAAGCAAGACTTTTTTGCAAAGATTTGTTTCCAACTTGGGCATAAATCTTAAACTAATCCACATACACCTTGGAGAGAATAGAAGGTCAGAGTATGCCAATTCAACACTGACATTTTATTTTATGATCACAAAAATTCCATCCAAAGTTTAAGTGCAGACGTGACGCGTTTGGTTAAGAGATCTCAGCGGAGTGTCGCTCTACCGCGTGTCGGCTGCGTGCGGCGCAGGTGTTAAACCAGACGACCAGGCTGGAGATTCAGCTCCTGGAGAACTCGCTGTCGACCAACAAGCTGGAGAGAGAGGTTCTGCAGCAAACGCATGACATCAGCCGGCTGCACGACAAAAACAGGTAACCAGGATCACGGTGCTGTCCACGCTCGAGCACTGACAGCAGCGGTTCGCAACTTATGGGTCGTGCTTCCCCACAAGGCATTTCGAGGGGGGGTGGGGGAGGTGCAGGCTGTGGCATGGACACTGTGCAAGAGAAGTTGTGAATCTGCGTGGGGAACATGACCGTCAAATTATTCGCACGGTTGGCTACGTACGGTGCGAAATAAATTCAACATACATATCAATTGCGGTGACAAAAGACTGTAATACCCACTGCCGTTGACCAGAGACACGGACATCTCTCTCTGTGCGCGATGCTGGGCGAGAGGGCGCAGGGACCCGTGGCGTTGATGGGGGGGACGTACCAATACGGTTGAGATCCACAGTCTTGAAGGGGCACAGAGATAGCCATGAGGGGGCCACGGCTAGTGCCTTTGCAAAATATGACTGCCTGCCATTTTTTCCACAAAACACGATCAGTTGTCTCTGCAATCAAAGCCAATAATACACAAAGACCTCTCCATTCACGTGAGAGCCCACAATGATTTGAGGACATTACGCATTTTCATCAACATCTACAATTGCACTGCACTAAAATGAGTTGAACACAAGTTCACCTCAAAGCAAATAGTTAAATAAAATTGTACGTCGTTATGTAATCCAGTGTTGTTGTCTGTGCAGCTATTTAACCATGGGTCTAAGGACATGGGGGGTGACCTTTCAAATAGTGTCTTGTCCAGATGCTAATGTCAGGGCAGTGAATCACGGATACAATTTGTAAAAAGAAAATCGTATCTGCAGGGTGGGAAGCTGAGACATCTGTCTGCAATGGCCACTTGAATTGGGAACCATCCCCCAGAAGACCCCTCTGGGGGATGATATAAAAGACTACCATATTTAATCACGCAAATATGAATTGTTAAAAAATACTAAAATTATGCAACCACACAAAGAGTGCTATACAAACAGAGCGTACCCTCCCATCAGTAATGAGAAAGAGGCACAAAAATTCCCAGTGATTATGTACTCTAGAAAACAGACATTGACCACAAGCTTCAAAATTCACGATGCTCACAGATGTAAAAATCCGGAAATGTTTAAGAAGCACTTAAACTGCACAAGTAGTGAGCTTCAGAGGTCACGGTGTTATTTATTGCAAAACATGTTGAGAATGATGGCACCATGCTTAATGCAGAAATATGTATAACCTGCATGCTTCCCTGGTGGAAATTCTACATTCCTTTGGCAGGAGCATGTGTCTCCCTTGGGATAACCACTGTTGGATTCCCCACAGAGTGATATTGATTTCATTGACCCTGGAGGAATGATGGGCTTCATTAACATCAGATAATACACATTATGTTCCTTCCATGAAATTATATAATGATCCAAAAACGTTGCAATATTTTCGACACAACCTCCGACAACGGTCCGGTACAAGAACACTTTGTAACGCAAAAAAGGGGAGCTTTACAAGATGCTATAGAATGTTTGTTGAACACGACTCCCATTGTGTCCGAAGCATCTGCACTCTCTGCTGGCAAGCTGACTCAGGGGCTGCTTGTCCAAGTCTCGCTCCTGTGCCAGCACCGCTAACACACAGGGGACCCAGTCCCACTCAAGTGATTTACTCCTCAAATCAGCATGGAGGCGGTGAGCTCAATGGTGAAAGTTCAACATTCCTATGGCAGGGGCGAGTCTACTCATAAGACAACTACTGTTGGATTTTCCATGAAATGTTATCCCTGGAGTGTTGATGGGCTAAGTCAACCCCCAACCCAGATTTGAACTCGCCATTGGGAGGTCCGGCAAAAAAAGAGTTTACTTCTTCTGCAGCATCGAAAAATTGTAATTTATCGAAGCCAGGTCGTCAAATCTGCACAAAACAACAAACTTTCTCTTGATTGGTGTTGGTGAAGCTGCTGCGAACCGGCCCGGCTCAGAGCACAGCCCTCCACTGCGTTGCTCCCGGGCGCAGTCTGGCGCCGTGCCTCGAGTCTGCGATGATCACGTGCAGGAAGCTTTCCTCTCTGCTCTCACTGCTCGTTGATTGGCAAAAACAATGAAAAATGGGTAAAATAACACCCACACGTACATGCAGCGAGGCGTATAATAATATTTTTAAAAAATCCTGTAAAACCACGCAAGCAGGAACAACTTGGTCCCGCATGAACACAAGTTGAACTTCCAGGCGTAGCTACGCTCTTCAAACAGCGGCGCTCATCTCTCCCAACTTGACCCGGCAGCTCTCGAGCTGCCATCGCTCAAAGCGACCGGCCCTTCCTGACAATTCAAGGGCATCGCACCAGGACTGCCTGCGAATGCGAGACCCGCCACAGACGTGCTCCAGTTGAACGACGTGAAGCTTGCTGAGCTGTTTCAGTCAAAGCGCTTGAGAACAGCGCCAAAAGAGGGCTCTTAAAACAAGTGCGTAATAAATCACGATCGTGCTGAATGTTGCCACAAGCAGTGATTTCGAAGCTGATTAAAATAATTAATTTGCACTTGACACAGTTTATCCACATGGACAGCCCATCCATATTCGGGAAATAATGAAGTTTTCATTTCCAATTGTGTCGCATTTTAATGATTAAAATTCACCATGAGCACAAGCAGGAGAATAAACACAGGTGTCAAGCTTAGTGTCAACTTAGACTCAATTGAACAATATGACATTTACAAGCTCTTTGAATCGGTATCCATTCATCTTAATGTCATATAACCTCAACTTTTGCAGTGAACAACTTAAATTTTACGTGTAATAATAGTCTCTGGGTTTTTTTTTTGTTTAAGGGCAATAATCCTCTACTTGTGGTGCACGTAACATACGGCAAAGCAAATGTCGAATGGCAGAAATCTATTCTCGCCCAGGGAGCGTCAGTGGAGATGCTGGGCCCCAGCTGCGAAGGGGAGCACCAATCTGGAGAAACCTGCGTTCGCTCATTCTGCCGGCAGTAGCTCGCATGATCTATCACGATCCACTGGTGTGTTCTGTTGTACGTATGCACTGTATGTAGGACGCATGATCTATCACGATCCACTGGTGTGTTCTGTTGTACGTATGCACTGTATGTTGAACTTCTCTTGCACCGTACATAGCCAACCGTGCTAATCGGAGGTGCAGTTGCCACAGCTATGAAGTCCGCTATAAGAACTGTGAGGCAGACAGCCCAACACGCCAGCACAAAAGGCACAGCACAACCTGATAGATCTCTACCCAACGATCAGAACCTGACTCCAAAACGATGCTTTCCCTCCCATCGTCTCCCATCGTCTCTTTTCCCTAGCTTAATCAATTCAAGAAAGGCGTTAACTTTTTTCTATTACAACTTTGATGGTGCTGTTTGTTCTTGGACATTTGATGCATTGGGCCTTTGGGCCTGTGCTCCGAAACTGTGTTTGAAAAACACAAAAAAACAGTGGTTATGGGCTTGGACGGTCGGCACACGTGGAGTCACGTTCGCGAGATGAGCACGCATGTACATTCCGCACGCACGTCCACGTTCTCTTGTTTGGCACGAAACATTTTGCATTCCATAGTTGGTGGGATGGGGAAGGCAACCGAGAATCGGGTTGTGCAAGCACGTTCAACTCCCTACAAACAGAAGTGATGTTATTGCTACGCGAGTAAAAGTGATAAGATAGAATGTGAGGTTCCCTCCTAAATTAAACTCTGCTTTGCTCTTCGATGAGGAGGGACCCTCACCGCTAAGACTGAATGGATGCCCAGCACAGCAGTAGAAATGTACCCCGCTGGGCGGTCCCGTGGCACAGTGCTCCTGTGCAAGGGGTCACATCGGCACATCATCCCTCCAGGGTCAATAAAATTAGCATCCCTTCAGTGAAAGTGGTTGTCCGATGGAGAAAATGGCATCTGTTATGGTAACAACCGCAGACACACTTGCAAACGAGATGTTCCAGCTGAAGGAATTATCCAGGTAAAATAAAATGTAAAAAATAATCGTGTGGATTTCCCTCCTCTGCCTAAAAACTGCCAGTGGAGATGAGGGCCCAACGCTCAAGCGAGCAGGGAGACACTGTAACCCGACTTGGTAAGTGACGATGACTGACGCGGCGCCATTTGGCGATGGCTGCGCGGTGGACGTCAGCTTGCTGGAGCGGAAGGTGGTCGAGGTGGAGCAGAGGCAGCAGCAGGAGCTGCAGGCGCTGCGGCGTGAGCGCGACGAGCTGCAGCAGGCTGTGCTGCAGCGCGGCGAGCTCATGGACGCCCTGGAGCGCCAGCTGCTGGGGGCCACGCACAACCAGACGGTGCTGCAGCGGCAGCAGGCGGAGCTCACCGAGACGGTGCGCACGCTGCTCAACGCCATCGCGCAAGGTACACGGCGGCGGTGGCGACGGTAACACGTGCAGGATAGAGACCCCAAACGTCCTGGGTCTGACCGAGATGGTCCCGGTGGTTCAAGAAGGTCTGTCCCCGTGTCCACCCTCAAACTCGGACCAATTGAAACATTAAACATTTTAAAATGTCATGCTCGACTCATGATGTGGGCAGTGGGTGGGGATAGCGGAATAGTGGGCAGAGTTAGCGGAGGTGTACGCAGGGCCTATGAGCAGTTGGCGGGCCCAGCATCAGGAGGAGGGAGGGGGAGGCCACTCACTGTGAGGCCGGGACTTGTGGTTGAGTGGGTGTGGCTATTGAAAAGTGGGAGGGGCTGCCAGCTCACCATGTGGCCCGGTTCAGCCTCCCAGAAGTTTAGAAGCTTTATCACGTGTCCTTTGAGGTGGCAGAGCATTGTGGGAAACAAGTTGCAGTCAACCACGTGTAAGTTTCTGTGACAAAACAGTGTGCATATTTGAATCTTGGTCCCTGTGACTCAAAGCTGCTCACGAGGCTTCTGTGTAGCGAGGCTGATATCTTCCAAAGCATTACAACGACACTCATTTCTTGAACGCAAGTGGACACACATCCTGCATGTGCCCTTTTGTTCCTCTCTGAAGGGATGCACTACATGCAGTTGGTACAGCAGTCTATGCTTTCCCTTGAAAATAAAGGCTTCCAAACGTTTAAGGATGGTCAATATTGTTACCATTTGCTTTATTACACCGAAGGTATGAGGACAATCATACATCAAAGCCACTGCTAGCCATGTGAAGTAGACTGCTAAAAGCCCCAGAGGTGAGTGAGCATGCTGACCTGTGCAGCAAAGGAATCTTAATTTTTGGGCAAACACTGTTGCCACTGTCTGTTGTAGTTCACTTAATACCTGAAGTCACTTTGGAGTTTCGCGAAAGGCACAGAAAAGTAATCACTAAGCCATGGAGTGCTTTAATCAATAACATCTGAAATTCTCTGAAATGCTTTCCAGATGCATAAAATATCCATACCTAAACCTGTGAAACCTGATCAATACACATGTAAGTTAACAAAATCAGAGCAATATTTAAATGCAGAAGGCTTAAAGTAGGTTCAGTTCTGCAGTATTTGGAATTCACCATTGGTTACCACGGCAATTTAAAACCAGCCAGAATTTTAAGTAAAAAAAAATACGCGAGAAAAGAGCTCATCCCTAGTTACAGTAGTCACAGAGGATATTGCCATGTGTAAGCTATGCTCTGAACGCATTTACATCACGTGTGGTGTGCGTGCGAAATGAAATTGCGGGATAGTCACCCATGATGTTTCTGAAGAATAAAGTAGCCTCAGCGATGGGGACGTGGAATTCCAGCTCTGTCTCATGGCCACCAATAGACAATGAGCACCACCCGATGCTTGCTTGAACAGGCAGAAACTTTGCAAAATGGGCATCCTTGCCCATGTTAATCTCAACCCCCCATTGAGGATACTCCGGTTCAGCAGGAAGCAAATCGGGTGTGACCAAATCCTCCTCCCAAAGTGTCGCGCCCACTCGACCTTCTGAGCGGGGTTTGACATCGGCTGATAAATCCCCAGGCCCGAGTGTTGGACGCACATACGTGCGTACACACGTGCCTCGTCCCAAACATCTGACCTCGAGATTTCATCTGAAGATCTACCAGCATTGTGCAGCGCAGCCACGTATGTGAATCCCAGAGTACGTTTGGTCACCCTGCCTCCAAGCATGCACAGCAAAGTCAATCCTGCCCACCTTGTAAATCTAAGCCAGCGATCTTAGCTGCTGCTCACAAAGTACACACTTGGAAATGCATTACGCTTAGAGTTAATGTTGTGCTGGCCGCGTGGATACATTCTATCCTTAAATGAAAGCATACCTTAAAACATTTAACACGCTGTATTAGTTATCTACTTATTGTAATGCAGCACTTTAATGAATTCCTATTGAAAGCACCTAATATATCAGCATCGGTGGAGAGACAAAACTAACTGGCAGTGTTCCCTGATCCTATGACATGTATTTAATATTACGTTTGAAAGTTTTTGAACTTGAAAAAAAAATCCCACAACCAAAAGGCCTCTTTGCAGGTTACCGTGAATCTTAAACAATGTTACAATGTTGTCCTCTGAAACTGGACAACGAAATAACACAACGGCTGCTCCCATTCCTTAAGCCAAAGAATGTTTAGAGACAGACATTCAATGTTGCCTGCAATCCATTTAAATTTCCCACAAGGGTTGCTTGTATGCGATTCTACAAATGGTCCCATGTTGATCACGTTCGGGGAACATCAATGTATTGAAAAAAATGTTTTGAAAGTTATTGCGATTTGTTTCATGATCATACATCCTTAATACTACTTTTGTCATAGTTTTGTTAATTATGCGAGCTAAAATTGTCACAAGGTATGGTAAAATCTAACTAGAAAACCACCACTTTATTTACGAAAGAATAATACACAGACCGCACACATTTTTTTAGTTACACGCAGAGAAAGTGACACATTCTTCCATTTTAAAAGCATGATCTCACTTACGTAGAGAAATGACAAAGGCCTGCATTTGCCACGTGACAAACGTGAGACAAACTATATTTCATGATCATTATAAAATCACATGGGTAAAGACGATACTCAATTGATTTGTTAAACAACCTCATGAAAAATATATTTATCTAAATATCTGCTGGCCAAAGGTTTGAAGAGCAAAATCGAAACTGAATCTATCATAGAAAAATAATCTAAAACTTTTTTCATCTATTTTTTTGTCAATTTGCTTAACACGGCCTAAAAGGCCCCAACATATAAAGCAGGCCAGCAAAAAACAGCACTAACTCCCACGAGGGACAGCCATTCTTCTATGAGGCACACGTAGCCGACAGTGCCAGACCGTCACGCACCGCACAACTGAAGTTCATCAATGCCGCTTAATATGTGGCAAATTATGTAAAAGAGCCGGCTCAGTTCTGTGTAAAAAAAAAAACCTCACAAAGCCGATTCAGAGCCTCGACTCTGCAGTCACATGGACTGCAGATGTGAAAATAAATGCTTTGTCTTGGGCCTTATTGCATTATATCAATGAGGGTGGTCAAATATCTACTGCTCTGGCCAAAACCTGCTGATGTTATCTCTGAAGCTGTGCACACAGTGATGTGCAAAGAAAGCAAAATCAATTGTATTGCATTTTTCCAAGAGTTTAATAATTGTCGGATTATATACCGGTCAGGGCAATGTCAAATATCTTCCTGTTGAGACTGGATAATGCTGGGGGTGTGCTCATCTCTGTTGGTGGCCCTCAGTCAGTGGTAGAAATTCCATATTCCCGTGATAGGGGCATAGGATTATTTTCGCAATCAGAACGTAATTTTATATAACTCCTATGGAGAGTCTGACCCAACCACAGGAATGTAGAATTTGTATCAACGGCTCAAGGCTGCCAATTGCGACAAGTACTAAGCCATCGTTCATTTGGCTTTAGAAGTACGACAGGAACACGCACACAACATACTTCATCAACTGGAAACATTTATGACAAAGCTAAATATATAAAATCCATACACCAGAAGGTAAACATTTTCATTCGCTGTCAACCCCCGCATTTTTTCCGATGCCCAAAAAAAACTGTCCATTTTAATTTTTGACACGAACGTGCGAAGCACAGACGCAGCGCGATGACAGCGGAGCATGTGGCTCTGTTGATGGATCCCACACGCAGCCAAGCGCAGGTTCCAGCAGCCACGTGGCAGGCGGTCTCGTACACACGGCGGAACCAGCATGACAACCACTAAAAGAAAAACAGCCAAGTCCATGGGAAAGAGCAATGTGGAAATTCAATGCCGATATTTTGTAGATAATAAAATTCAGGTCGGACAAATTATAGATATAATAATATGATAAATTATCAGGCAACAGCATTACAGACTTATAAGATCAGAGAAATGGGCCACTGGCTATAGCAGTGGCTCCCAACCTTTCCGGACCCGCGGATTGCTGTCGAAACACCGCCCGGTGAAACGTATTGCGTTGTGAGAAAAAAAATCTACGTAACTGCAACAGTTCTGCAGAACGGTAACTGCAACAGTTCTGCAGAACGCTTCCCCATGGGCCTTGCAGACAACCAATGGCCCACCAACCACAGGGCGGGAGCGGCTCCTCTAAGAGTATTCATGTGGAGAGCACATTGTTCTGATGTACGTCAACGACAAAGGTAGAGCGATAGGTGTGTTCCACGTGTGCGCCACTGTCAACGTACTCCCGTGAGTGTTGCTGTTGGGCATGCAGTCGATGCTGTTCAGAGCCCTTCGTCATGACAATAAGCACAGCCACAGTCTTAAATAGCCCCAAATGTGGACGGATACCTGCGGTGCAATTCACTGACGTGGTTAACCCCCAAATAATGCAGAGTGGTAGCGAGAGGTTGAGCCACTTTTGCGATTTACTTGCAAGAGCGTAATAGGGCCCCGAATAAGTACGTTCCTCGCTGATGACCATGCTCCCCTCAAGTGTGTGCGATGGCCCATCTCTCTCACACCAACACTAAACGTTATCTCCTGGCATTTACTCACCACGCCATGCTGACAACATTTTACATGTGCCACATCACTTCATCACAGATGGCTGATGTGACCACCAAGATAACACACTGCAAAAACAGACTGGCTTCGAATTTCGAGTTTTGTTAACACAGAAAGAAAAATTATTTTAAATGAAACATTAAAATGTAAAGCTACCTTGGTTATTTTAAGCATGCAGATGTCACTGTGGTCACAGCATGTGACTCGTGTCATCAGAAGGCTACATGTTCAAACACTGGTTGGGGTCAACTCAGCTCATCATTCCTCCAGGGTTAATAAAACGCATACTATTTTGTGCAAAGTCAAGAGTGGTTTTACTATGAAGTGGCTGGCCCACTTTGGCTGTCACTTAACTGGGGTGTTTTGTTTGTATAATCTCCACATGCTCAATGTGCATTTATTAAACCAAACCGTCAAATTACATCCCCGAGCTTGTCTTTAATACTCTACACTTCTACAGGATAAATTCAATATTCATTGACGCATGGGAGCAACCCACTTGCTACAAGGCAAAAAACCCCACCAAAATAACTGGTTGTGTTGACGCTGTGATGTAAAATAGCAATCTGTGACGCAATCCCCAGCACATTGCCAAATGAAGCCCCTGAACAAAAGCAGACAATTCGCCCCACACCCTCTTCAATTCAATTCACTCGTAAAAGCTACATAAACAAACATTGCAGGTTTATAATAAGCAAACACAAAGAGCCTATCAATGGCTGACAAGAATGTGCTGCAGGCTGTTAATGGAGTGTCTGCCGAGGAGCAGCGGCCTCCCTTTGTCAACAGCCTTGTAAATTTTGGCCCTCCCACCAACTGGGGAGAAAATTTCCTCGGTGCCGGAGAAACACAGAACAGGATCAGCGAACGGCGCGAAGGAGCCCATAAAACATCGACCCAGAGGCACGGGAGCGTGCCAAACCGTGTGAGTGACAGGCCCCTTATGAGAAGAGTGGCCCAACACAAAGTGGTGCCAAAGCCCAGCAACTGTTTCGTGTCAGCGCTGGGGCAACAGTATATTATTGCTCGCCGCACTCGGTAACACTAGCCCGAGTGTCTTGAGCTTTCTTCAGCAGCCTCTTCTAAGATTAGTTTCTTAAAGATAACAGCGAGAGAAAACACGTTTTAATGGTGCAATAAAATGAGATTTACGCTAATCAATCAACCGGTTAACCTGTGGCCACGGTGGGTCAGCTATCGACGTTCACAAAGCAGGACGGCGCTGCTCTCTCTGACGTTCCACGGCTCACCGAATGAAGTCAGAAGAGCAATTGTGGAGAATGTTTTTTTTTAGTTAACGAGGTCTTCATAACCACCACACACGTCGGCGCGTGTTTATTTACATCTGTCAAATGTATGTGTTGGCAATTACCTGCTTCACAGAGGAATACTTGGCTTTGCGGTGTAAGGTGAACTACGCTCTGGCAAAAACCGTAAGCCCGCCGTGTGCCTTTGTTTGACATCAGCGAGCAGCCAAGGGCCCGCAAAGGAAGACGCGATCCTTTTCAGCGACTGCGCCGACGCGTACGAAGCTGGACTCACGGCCAGCGGCGTTTACACCGTCAAAATCTCGGACAGCACCGAGGCCATGAAGGTGACTTTGACGCTCCGACCAAAACAACCAACCAAACACACTGCAGTCCTGCACACCAGACCAAACAAACTACGAAATAAAGCAAACTGAGTTATTCTACTCACAACTCTGTTTTTGCCATTGTAGAAATATCATTCATTTGACCCCAGACACCAAGGCTTTAAAATCTGACCCAGGTTTACAGTTATTAAAGTGTGCTGGAACCCTTTACGGCCGACACGCATGCCATAGCTGGTGCCTATCCAATTTAAGACGTTAATGTCTCCCGTGGGACCGATGTACAAACATGCACACAGAGGGACGCTGCAATGCAGGTCCTTTGAATCTGTTCCAAAATCATGAACACACGCACATCAACAATCTCGTTCTGGTGAATCTGATCCCGAACCACAGTTGGCTAATGAACGGTCCTCCTCTAAGCAATGACAATTCAGGCAACAGGCAGCATCAACGCCAAATATTTAATTTCACGTTGCTCAGTGCATGAAACCAAAATCGGAGGGGAAACCAAAATCGGATGGGAAACAAAACCCGCGCTTCCAAAGGGGAGCTCACTGGTATTCAGGTGAAGACAGTCACGTGACCCGATCTGAAGTCTATTCTTCTTCAAATCCGATTGTTTACGGGACAGATGTGGCGCTATTATCTGCACGACAGACCTCACATACACTTGTGTGGCTGACAGACGGCATCATAAGGGACACAGAAAGAAGTTCGCTCACCGCCAGATTTCCAACGCGCAGCACCCACAAACGTGTAGCGTAGAAGCACGGCGCCTGCAAAGGCACAGCTGTGCTAAGCAACTGTTTCAACAAAAGTGGCAGTAGTTGTGTTCCATCTGTGGAATTCCACGGTACGAGCAATGTGGAAAGAATCAAAAGTTAATATGAATCTGAAACCAATTAATTCAGACAACGTTTGAAGTTATTCCATTGTCATGTATACCGCCATTCCATTTTTTTAAAGCATCATATTTAATCGCGTACAGCCCTCTCGTGATACAAACAAAAAAACTGCTGGACAAAGGCCCCCATGCTGCGTCAGTCACGGCAGTTGTTGGACTGCTATCCTTCGAGAGTGGTGAGTGCGTGCTGGTGAAGACCTCCCTGGTACTGGTCCAAGTTTCACTCGCCACTGACGTTAGCCGTGAATGGAATCAATCCGAGGTCGTGGGTTTATCGCATAGTGCGCTAAATGCTGCGGTACCGCTCCCCGATTTTCTTCTTGTGAAGAAAAGCAAGATGTTGGCACCGCGAGTCGGGTGAGCCGCCACCTTCCGCGGCATGCCGAGCACGTGTGATGTCTTAACTTCTTGTAGATGACTAATCTTCCTTCCTTGGATTCCTGCCCACAGGTGTGTTGGGTTTGTAAGTCATTATCACTGGTGGCTCCCTACCAGCCAGCGGTAGGCATGCGGCAACCACTATTCTACACTCCTGCATAAAAAGCAAACGGAGCTTTCTCGTACACAAATGTGCATCTAATGTAAAGATAATTACATGTGTTATGTTAGCCGATTCTCTGTGTTGTATTGCATTATATGTCTAAGTTTACTAGGTTTGTTTTCTCTTTCATTTGTACCTGATGATGATTGCTTGTGTTGCAATCGAAACGTCGTATGCCATTATTTAATTAATATTTTCTTTCTACGTGACTTTAGCGAAAAAAACAAAGAGTACGTGTCAATGTTAATCAATGTTTTCAAATAAATAAAATAGTTTTCAAATAAATTAATATGAACACAATCCATTAATGCATTTGAACCTTATGGTGGAACCCCGGGATCCCATAAGCCCCCGGCTCTCGCATGAACTGCATTGCGACATAATTTTATATCTGTTGAAGGCGAACAATACGGAAATCTATTCCTCTCGACGAGCTCTGCACGATGCGCTAATCAAAGTTTCAAAGTTTTGTTTCTTCTGCGTATTCGTCCTCGCTGCGCTTGGACATGACATGACAACAGAATGATCCGCGCCAGGTGGGTCGCGGCGTTCATGTGCGCGGTGGGACGGAGTCGCCATAAATAAATAAATAGATTTAGATTTTGACTTCCATTTATTCGGGACCCCAGGGTCCCGCCATAAGGTTAATTTAAAATGGGAAGTGTATTTTAATATGTAGAACGCTGTTTGCTGGACTGACTTGAAAGAAAATACAAATGACGAGAGGACATTTCGAGCACATATAGCACATGTTAACTTATGCATGCGTGAACACATGCATCTGTGGATCAACACAACACACACCGTGTGTGGTCATCTGCTGAGTGGGTGGTGCAAAGAGCTTAAAATGGACCGAGGATTGCTTTTCCTCTTCGAGATTCACGCACTGCCCTTCAAACCAAACGGATTGGCATTGGCTTCGTTGAAAGTTCACGCTCGAGCCATGTTAGCAGAAGTCTTTAGTGAACAGAATGTATCACAATAAAAATGTATGTCCTTTAATGATCCAGGAAAGCATAAGAGTGTATTAAGATTATTTACCAGCAGAGCACTGCATTGGGAAGTTTGGCCAATTTTTTAATTCAGGCGCGTTTTGCTTCTAGTGGGGAAAAAACCAGAGTGCACACGAGGGGATAACGCCGAATGATCCAGACAGACGGATGTACAGACCAACTTGCTGTACTGCCATCACATGGCAACGGTGCAGCCGGGCAGGAGTGAGAGTCACATCGTGTGGTGCGTTCTCTCAATGACCCACTTACATTGCCACCAACGCACCGGGGCACCGCCATCTGCCACCACACCGGGGAAATCTGAACGAATCTGCTCCACAGGGTTCATGGGGCAGTGCACAGGAGCTACAGGGGAAATAGCGTTGGCCGTGCGGCAGAGACAGAGCGAGCGGCTCACAATCGCAAGGTTTCGAGTTCAAATCTGGTTGGGGGTTCACGCAGCCCATCATCAATTGGGGGCCAATCAAATTGATATCCACTTTGTGGAGAAGTCAACCGTGGTCGTTCAAAAATAGAGTTGCCCGCGTCAGAGAAATGTGGAAATGTCACCGCTGGATCAGGGCTGTAAACGGAAGATGAGCACCGTTTCAATGCAAGGTTTACTCTGACTACAGCAGTTGTAAAATGTGTGACCGCCAGTCAGAGGAGAACTGATCAGGATATCCTTCCTTTAAAGGCTTTACCAGGGCAGGAAGCGTTGTCTCGCCCCCCCCCCCACGCCGCCCCCCACCCCACTCTTGCGTGGGCCTTGTGCCGCACTCAAAGCCAAACTTTATAAAAGGGAGGTGAGTTCTCCTTCAGGAGGCTAATTCTGCAGGCAGCCGCGTGTGTACATGTGTTACAGATCGAAGCGCATCTGGAAAGCAAAGGTCTATTCGTGCGTCCGCGTGACAAAAACATTAGCCTTATGCAAATAATAACAGATCTGGGGAGAAAATGCTGCCTTCCTACCTAAATAACATGCAGGGAAATATTCGATAAATAAACACTGAAGGAACTGTTTTAGCCATATTGTGTGATCAGACATCGTGATGGGTTCATGGCTTATTTTGTTTAGTCAAGTCAGAACTCAACCAGGATAGTCATATGTGCAAGAATGATCTGGGTCCCTGAAATGACAAAAACATAAAAATTGCACACTAAAACAAATGTAAAAAAGACAATTCATCGATTAATGGAGGGACTAATTGTTACGTCAATCGTAGACATACGGACATCTCGTATCACCACAACCCTTACAATCTTTGCGAGGGTAAATGCTCGGAACAGTGAGCAAAAGCCGAGGGAAACACGGCCCTCTACTCGCCGATTCCTTGCTACTGAATCTCTAAAAGGATTCATCAGGACAGATGTGGTCTGCATTAGCTGTTGGCAGTACAGCAGAGAAATGAAAGCCCGAACTGATATCCTCGATATTTTTCAGTTTCATTTATTAGGTATAACCCTGTGAGCCATGCGGCTCTTGACTCGGGTGCAACCGCAACAAACAAAAACATGAACAAGATATAATATAATTTGCTACATTGAAATTTTAAAATGCTGACAGTATCAAATGTTGCCTGTTTAGTGTATTTAAATGTAAAACGTGTATTACGACTCATTGTTGGTGACGTTATCATGCCTATGACTTGCATTCACGCTGACACTGGCGACGGTCGCGCCAATGGTGCGCGAGGTTCATTATAAACGGTGGAGCTTTCACACGGCCATATGGATTCGGTCTTACCCATTTCACTAGCTTATCAATCATTTTTCAAGCTATCTTAAAAACCACTGAGCCAGCCTTAGTCAACCCTCTGAAGCCCACAAATACCTTGATCCATACCAACAGCTAGATTAATGGGAAGTCATTAAACATCACACAAGGTTACGTGCTTTGCTTTCCACAGAGGTTACTGGACGTGGCTGAAGATAGCGAGAGAACTTTGATAGTGAATATATTTCTCCATGATGCAAGCCAGATGGCACCAGAGTGTACACCCCTATTTAGAATTACGCCTGACAGTGACCAGAATAATCTTTAGTGGGAAGTTGGCTCTTGATATTTAAACACAATTTTTACTGCTAAAATAACCATGCACGCCGAATGTGTCTAGATTAATTAAGAGTGCTGGAGACCAGGTCCATGGTGGAAGTATCATTCTTCATTAGTGCCTGGATCTCTCAGTGTAACTGCTTTACCACTTCCATTCCGGCAAGTTACTCAATAACAATAAATAACGATGATGAATGTCTGAAAAGAGCACAACTCCTCACGCTTCACCACGCCGGTCAGTTTGGGTTGGTGAAGAGGGGACGGTGGGGGGGGGGTTCAGGACGAGTTCAGATGTCACTCGCCAATCACGTCGTGCGTGGATCGGAACCAAACTCAGATAGGCAAGTTCATATCGCAGTGCGCTAACTACCCTGCCACCACTCATCCCATACGTACTATATATTCCACGTTAATATATACAAACTTAACGTAGTCTGTGTCTGAAGCTCAACATGTAGATCATCGTGGTTAATGCCACTGGTGCCATCACAATTTCTAACTGCCTGACCTTCAAGGGCCACTGCAATTATCCCACCACCCCAAGTCTTCCCTTGGTTGCTGCCTTGCTGCATCCTGCACGCGACACAAACCACACGCTTACTGGTGCTACAGCAACAGCAGTGTCCTGCCCACCTCCGCCCATATCGCGACGGGTTTCCCCCTGTTTTGTTAGGCAGTTCCTAGCAGCTTCTACAGACATCCTCCACCAAGTATGGTGGCTTTGATTCTCCAGGTGCCCATACCTGTGATATTGCATTGCCCAAAGTGTCTGGTTCTTTGTTTCATTCAGAAACAATACAGATATAACTCCAAATGTAATACACTCTTCTTGCAAAGAGGTTTATGGTTTATCAAACAACAACACCCTACCCTGCTGAAACAGTTCCCAAGCTGCTTGGCCGACTGACGGAAGTAAACTGTGCTTTGCTGCCAGGTATACTGCAACATGGAGTCACAAGGCGGCGGGTGGACAGTCATCCAGCACCGAGAAAACGGCGCCACAGACTTCCACCGCCCATGGCAGGAGTACAAGATGGTGAGGAGGTGCCCGTTATATGTGGCCTGGGCCGCCCAGGGGTGGGAGCAAATTGTCCTGGGCCTACACGGAAGAGGGCTCCACAATGGGCCTAATTTTTGTCGGTAATGAATAAGGGAACCCCACGTGGCATTCTGCCCCAGGCCTCCAGCCCAAGTCTCTTGGAAACTTCGCGGCGTTCCTGTCTGTGGCCATGCACTGTTAACGACAGGCATGGCCATCCCGCTGCGTGTTACTAGCGAGCTTCGACCATGTGAAGTACGCTTCAAGTGTCCTCCGGTGGCAGCGGCTGCAAATCTGCAGACCTGTATGTATGGATGTTTTGCACCGTACATAGCCAAACATTGTTTAGACTGTAAACTCAGACAATCAGCAGATGCAAGAAGTGGCTGTATACTCGGCCTAATACCACGGTGGTACTGAGGTAGTGGTGGGAATTCCACATCTTGCAGGGGGTGCCCCTCTCCATAAGAAATATGTTCCAAATGTATTGCAGCATGCATCACAGTAAAATATTAATTCATGCCAACTATGAATGAATTGATCTCTAATAAATACACATTTCAGTAGGGGTCACGACTGGAGACTGCACCACGGTGAGAAGCGTAGAATGGACATTGGTAGCCTGACCCATTTCTCCCTGGCCTCATTTAATGTCAGTAAGGGCAATATAATGACAAAATATGCATTATTACACTGTTAGCAAACAAAATATGTACAAATTATAGCAGTTAAAGTACACATGAGGTAATAACTTAATAATGGTTACATGTAGGCACTTAAGAGGCACGAGAGTGGGCAAGGTAAAATATTGTTTACGTCTGCGAGCAATGACTGGGCCATCTGCATGTATTAGGCTGTGAGCATTTTAAGTTCAATTATATACCGTGCACTTTGCGATAATACAATTGTTGCCTCATGCCGTTACGCCCAAAGCAAAAGGACCTGTGATGAAGCCAAATATACTTGTCTCGGTGAACGGGTCATGATACATATACAACGGTAATGTAAGGTCACAGCACACAGTGTAAAGTCACAATATAACTATGACCAAATGCCAAAAACTCTATCACCTTGAATGCTCCCGATTTCGTAAGCAAGGTTGAGCATGGTTAATGAAGTGGTTAGGAGACTGAGTAGACATGGTAGGCTTTGGCCAAAAGGTCACCAGGAGATAGCAGTAGAGCAATAGATTCTTGAATATATCCCCTGTGGTGACTAGAGTATTGCCTTTGTATTCCGGGTACACCGGTGTCCTCCTAAACACATTCATTGAATTGGTCAAACGTCTCAGTGTAGCCAGAACATTAATTTCCATGGCTAAAACAAGGGTAATTTCAACAATTAATTGTTTTATCCATTTGTCAATCCACTGCTGGAACAAAACTTCTCAATTCCTGATCGAACACAGCTGATGACGGGAACGAGGCTAATTTGGAAACCGCCCGTTACCAGTGTTACCCATGGACATGGATAGATTCCAGCACAGAAGACAAATTACTTTCCCACTGCTCTCGATATTTTTTGAAAATTCTCATCTTCTATACATGTATAGGACTAGGCCACAACCTGTCCACCGTGAACTCGTCGCGTGAATTGAGCAATAACAGAGTACAGAGCCTCCGAAGTGATAAGATGCAACCTAAAGCCACCTGCTCCAAGCATCTGGGAAGTGGAAAGCCAAACAAATGTACCCGCATGCCAGACGCGCTTTTGATGTGATTTACATTTCATTTCTTTCTCTTTATTCATGTCCACTTGAAGTCAAAGTGTCTTGCTTCGCAAACGGGAATGGGAGCATTGTTCATCTTTGTTGGTGGCCCTGAGCCAAGAGTGAAAATTCCACATTCCTATGATGGAAGTCAGTTCCTCCAGAGGGTGACCACTGTTGACACAACATGAGTGCTCATTCTATCAACTCTGGAGGAATGAAGGGCTGAGCGAGTCCCCAAACTTGGTTGGATCTCGGAGCCTTCTGAATGAATCGGGTGGTCTAACCACAACGCCATATGCCTGGGAATGTTGGCATTGCTCAAAGGGAAATGGTCATGTGCCATTCGAACCACCAGTGACCTCAGTAGGAACACGGTGTGACCTGCAGTAATTCCGAGGACACCGAATCTCCGGAAAACTAACTTGAGGCAGCCCGTCATGTACAATGAAAGTTAATTGAATCTGAAAAGCATCGAGCTTCCCGATTAATGAATGAAAATCCATACGGTTTTCAGTCAAGAAAGATTAATCACACAGTTTGTGAACAAATTAAACTAGTACTTTTTTTCCCTTACAAAAATGACACAGCAAAAATAAAGCAAGCTGACAACAGAGTAAATTAAACAATGGATGATGAAAATCCACCATTGTTTTTCACAAACATTTTTTACTGATCACGTACATTCCCGTGAAATGTGTTCCATGTGCAATGCACAAGCAATTGGGCTCCGTTCCACAGTACAAAAACATACACTCTGTACCTCCACTGTGACAAACGTTCTGGACAGGTTGATAAAACAGCACACAATGTAAACCAGAAACACATATCTGCTAATTGTCCCACTTTCATGTGTCCCTTATTTATGCCTCCCCAGGACTTTTTCATTATAATCACGAAAATATACAGCAATTTGTCAGCTATCAGTTCCGTCATTTATTAAGAACTTATGTGTAAACCCCATCAGAACGAGCTCTCGGAGGGATCGGTGGAAGTTTGTTTGTCTCACCCCTGTCCGGTTGACGGGAGGGGAAGAAACGCTGGGAGAAAGGGAAAGGGGGGCACATTATGTGGGATCAGCAGAGAGGTGTCCTGGTATGTGCAGCGGCCATGATTGTTTCCACACAGGCTCACATTTGTTATGCTGGGCTACGATAACCTCGCACTAACAATCCATTACATCGGGCTTAATGGACTGCAGATATTACGTGAACGTCAAGACAGCTGAGTAAAATAGCGTCGTCTCCAAGGTAGCCTAGATTTGACAATGATAATCTGCATTCAATTTTACAGCAGAAAACTAGTGCCACTTTTTGCCAGTGAATTTCAATATATGATGGGAGTTGTTTTTAGACAAAAATAGCTTTTTGTGAAGCAAGTTTGATCACCAGTATTCCACAAGCCAAGCCAGGAACCACTGATGGTGAGCGGTGTGTGAGAGCCCAACTGAAGGGCTCCTTAATTTTACACGAGTAGAGGAGATAAAACATTTGCAGATGTTGGAATTAATTGAAATATTTGGGCTGGCAGTGCGTTTTAAACAGAGCCATAGCATAAGGTATGGAGGAAATAACGTCCAATAATAAACAGCAATGGATGAAAAAATATTCATTTAAAATACGATGCACGCAACAAAATAATTATCACGCGCTTACCGGGGTACCGACACGTTGTGGATACGAGGTTCCTCGCTGCAACACTCTGGCAGGACAGCCAGCGCCAGCGAGAACGCTCTTGGCCAGAGGCCGATCAGTGGAAACTGCTCTGGTTTTTTGGGGCCCAGTTCATCTTTCTTCCGCAAGACTTACAAGCGTTTAAGCAGGTGCTGCATAATAGCTGTTTGCACAAGTGTTTAGTGGCCTCTCGCGCTGTCGCAGCATGCAGCCTGACCCCTGGAGCACGCCTGGGTCGGTGCATTCACCTCCCCCAGAGGGCGCTTTCCGAGCTATACTTTTTCAGGGTCGCCTTGCCAGTTCCCTCCACGTGCGCAACAGAGTAAAGACGTTGCGGTTTTACTTTTTGCGTCTGGCGCGCAGGGCTTTGGTGACGTGGCGGCAGAGCACTGGATGGGGAACCAGCATGTGTACTACCTGTCGCACCAGCAGCACTTTGTGCTGAGGGTGGAGCTGCGCGACTGGGAGGGCAACGTCGCCTTCTCGCAGTATGAGCGCTTCTACATCAGCAGCGAGAAGCTCAACTACAGGTCGGTCAAAGGCGTCCAGGAGATTGCCGCTCACGTAAGCATTGAGCCGTGGGTGCTCAACTCACGTTTACAGTCCCCCTGAGCCAGTGGTGGGAATTCATCATTTCTGTGGCGTGGGCCAGAACAGCGAGAAGCTGATGGACAGGTTGGTGCAGGAGGACTAGCGTAAACAATCGCTGCAATTATAAACCACTCACATGTGGAACACCATCACGTACCGAACAAATATGAAAGAATAAGTGAAGAAGGTCTGTACGAGTCTGTCAGCTCATACGAACATGGGCCAACTTCTCAGTTGCCTTGCACCAATGAAAAACCCACGTGTGTGTGTACGAAAGGGAAATACTCCATCCCATTCAGACGGAACAGGTGGAGTCCACATTTTTGCTGTGACGTTTCCTCCTGGCGAGCCTGGGTATGACACCTTGACCCCCACGGGAAGGGAGTTTCATAACATTTGTACGATCCACCAACCCTCGCTGCCTCTACAGTGCGGGATCACAAGCATGCATAGCCACTACCACCACCACCTGGCTAAATAACCAACGATCCACGTTGAGTCAACTGGTGAAACCATTCGTAGCAGAGTCTGTACTAGGCGGGACTGACAGTTTTGAGATGCAAGATTAATCAGACAGAACGCTACACATCGCTCTGTTCTTTTGCAACGTAAACTCGTACTTTCAAGACCGGAACAAAATAAACTTCCATTCTGCTATTCAAATAGTCGATGAAAAGTTTTAAATATTTCATGTAACCTCTGTTTATTCAACACTCAGCCTAATATAAATATTAAGGCTAAATATTAAGAACACCTTTCACAGGACCGTCGAAAGTAGGATAAGCGTTTGAAAATGAATTAACACGTGACGAGCGTTAGATTATTTTCCATTTCTCGGCAGCTGGACTCGGAACGTGAACCGCATGACAGCACTTCGTTTTAGATCACATTACACCCCATACACGAGCGCACAGGCCATGCAAGTACACACCGTGTGGACGCTGCTGCCGCGGTCTCATGCTTGGCACACTGAACTTTGTAATCCGGAGAACGCCCAATGGACCTCCCGGCGCAGCAGTTGAAACAGCGGGCAAGTTGCCCGCATCTCCGATTAGCACGGTAAGCTACGTGCGATGTGAAAGAAGTTCAACATACATATATACACACAAACGTTCCTGAAATGCCCTCCTACCTCGGTGCACGCGGCAGTATAAATAGGTCGCTCACAGCGAGGTTGATGGGCAGGTCGAGTGTGGTGGGGCAAAATGTGAGTGCTCCTACCTTTTCCAGGATTACTGCCAGCATGGAAGAGGATGCAAAATGCCCTCTGGAGGGCTCTCTGGAACTCCCTCTGGCAGGGGCCCCTTCCGCCAGTAGTGGTGCGAGCAGGCAGTTGCAGGGCTCCACCTTCACCTTTTTACCTTTTACATAGTCTGTACATATACTGTACATATACTGTACCGTATATGGTAAATACATGTTAAGAAATGATAGATTAGTTACGTAAAAAAACTATAGCCATTGCAGCTAACGATGAATACAAAAAAAGAATGGTAATTTAAAGATTTGAAGAACACGTGCCGGAAGAATTCGGCGAGGCCTCTACCATTCAAGAGCGCGCGCGCTTGACCCAATGCCCCGAGGAGCAGCTGTGATGTCCCCATGGCCACTAAGAAAACACCGCCGTGGCGGTGTCAGCTCCCATGCCGAGCAGCCCCCGTCCCTAATCACCGCCGCCCAGCGCAGGCGCAGACGCCGCCACAGCCGCCGGTGATTTCTGCACAGCTGGGATTCGGCGCGGTTTTATAAATCTGAAAGAATCTCAAATACGAAATGTAAGCTTAGCCAGGCACCTTCAAACCGAGCAAGCCTGCCAATCAAAGACAACTGCCAAAGTCAAACGTATCTGAAGAACGCCTATGTATATATTTGGAGTTTGCATGTCTCTCTCCCCGTGGTCGCTTGGATTCTTTTCTCTAGGTCTTTCGATTTTTCGTTTAGACTATTTTGCATGTTTTGCTGCAAAAATGTCCAAATGATAAGCCACTTCGTTGGGCTATTAGTTGTGGCCAGGTAGCTTTTGAAAAATAATACCTCAGTGGGCTTGTCTGGTAGGATGATTTCGTTTAATTTGTATGTGTTTGGGTGATTTGTTTACATTTATTATACGTTGCACTCCTATCGTTGTTTTGCATTGTTTTTTGTTGTTGTTGTTGTTACGTTCTTACCCGCCCCTACTGGACATTTGTGAAAAAGAGCTTGATAGCTAATCGGATTCCTCCAATATAAATAAATATTCTGATTCTGAAATATGTATGCATGCGTACGTGTTCAATTGGCCACATGCTGAGATTGTTTTTAGCTGGTGGCTAGATTTCCGTTCTCTTCATATACATATATGCACACTCTGTTGAGACCTATATGTTGCTGTGAGAATGTTTGCATGAGGCTGTTTTGTCTGATAATTATCATTCACTATCAATGTGTACAATTTGAACTCCTGCTATAACGATGGTTGGTTTCTGTCTGTGTCGCTGATCTCTGGGTATTTTTACAACCTACTCATTGATGTTGAGGCGTTATGGTCAGGGAATGTTGACCAGGAGGAAGGTAATGATAACAATGGGTGTTAAATGTGGGGGGGGGGGGATGCAATGCATCAGAATGCTGTGCGAGTCTTTTTAGAAGATACACATTTTTCCCAAAAGCCCCCAATAACAAACACGCTTCATTTTAAAATATAGCTTACAGGTTTAATTATATCAATTCGATTCCTAACATAATTAAAAGTCAAAATTCCTGAGTGGTTCTTATTTCTGTTGGAGAAACCATTCATGGCAATTCAACATTGCATTGAGGAAAAATATTTAAGAACAAATTTCTACATCATGAGGCCTCCTTTGCCAGTACCAAAATATAATAATAGGGTTTTTCCACTTTTTTCTGGCGACAGAAAAAAGTGGAAAGGAGGCCTCATGATGTAGATGCTTACCCCGAGCCCTCATTACTCCGATAGTACGTTGTTTTGAACTGTGTGCCTTTTGGCGTCATCTGGTCGAACACCGTATGAGACGAGGCTCTAAGGAAAGCTGTGTCCGGTGTGGACCAATCAGTTTCAAGGACAATGCATAAATGATCAGTGTTGTTTTTTGTTTGCATTCTGACTGCAAGTATTGTGGTTAATGTAAATATGATACCTCGCAAAAGGTTTCAGTTTTGTCGCCAGAAAAAACTGGAAAAATCCTATTAACAAATTTCTAATTTGAAATGTTAAAGAATAATTAAAGATAGCTGCATGGCAGAAAATAGAGATTCATCAGAGGTGCAGTTAAAATACCCTTCAACTTAACACCTTCAAAGCAAAAGGGTTTTAACTTTTACATGTTCCTAATTTTCCATATTTATGTAAACCATTAGAAGGATATGATTTAAACAGCACGTGTATATAATTATGTTTAACAGGTATTCTTACAATATACCCGTAGGCATTTATATTCTGCTTATGCATGTGTCACATAATCCTTTTTTGGCTACAGCGATGCTTTTGCAGTCATTAATACTTGAGTAATTGTGTGATTGTTTTAGAGAACGTTTCAAGGTCTGGCATTGCATGAGAGCAATCTGGCTCCAGTTCAAGCTGTTACTTGTGTCAAAGTTGAGGTGTCTGTTTCCCAGGCATGACACAACCTCTGCCTTTCGGAGCAAAGAAACTTCCATAAAACCGAACGCGGTGCTACGCAAGCTGCCATTTGACAGGCAACCACAGTGACAACACTACAAGTGCGGCTGTTGTGATGAAATGCCTGTAACGAGGTTGTATTACTTAAAAGAAAAGAGGGTAATTGTCCTCAGCTGTCCCACAACAAAGTAGTCGAGACGTGAACTATCAATTACCCTGGCCCCGTCATGGGAAGTAAGGCGCAAAACCGGCCAGTGTGGGCAAACACCGTTACCCAATCTCCTGCACTGGCACTGTGATAGCAGCGTGACTGCACTTGGGATTTTGTAACCAAAACTTCAAATTATCTGCTTCCACATAAGTTTATCAGGTAACTATTGCAACTGAGATTATCCTGGTCTCTTGGGTTCTCACCTGGTTAAATAAAATAAACTTATTTTAAAAGGCTGCCTTAAGCTGTGTCATTGTTTTCACGATTGCCAGAACAAATTTTCAGTAATATGTCTTGATATTTCCTGGAGTAATGCGTGTTAAGATATATCTTAAGATAACTGTTTAGTTTAGATGTTATATAGCCAACCAGATGTTTTGTAAAGTAACACAATTGTTAAGAAACAAAAGAATGTCTATAATGATGACTCTGAACTAAACACACACAGAGCACACAGTCTAACCAGCACACGCCAATACAAAGAACATTCTGGATCTAACCAACACCGGTAGCCCCAATTGAGCAAGTGAAGAGAGGCCCGTTGTTTACAGAGCTACGCCACGGCACGTTCTCTTTGACTGTGATTCAGGATCTACGTTAAAGGCTACACGGGCACAGCCGGCAAGTACAGCAGCTTTGCGCAGTCCGGCATAGACTTCAGCACCAAAGACATGGACAACGACAACTGCGCTTGCAAGTGTGCGCAGATGGCAACAGGAGGTGAGATGCTCGAAGTACAGCCAACATCCAAACGTAGATTTCCCAGCTTGGACCGCTGCATTGAACACCTCTTATTATTCTTCTTCTCCTCTTCTCAAGATTTCACCACACACTACTCACTGCGGACATGTTGAGGGTTCGATGCCTGCGGTAGTAGTGCGTGGCGAAAGCTCGAGAGAGTAAATCCTCAACGAGTGGCCCGAACCAGAGCCACAAGCGGCTACGATAACTCACGCATGCTAAATTTCACCCAGCAGCACCCGATGGCGCAGCTCACCGACAGGAAACGCGAGTGCCTCACAGTGTTCTTCTTTGGTTCTTTCGGTAAAGTCACGTAGAATGAGAATAAAATAATAAATTGATCAAATAAAATAACACAATAATATTCTCACGACGTTTCGGCCACAACACAAGCGGCCTTCATCAGGTGAAGGGACGAGACTGTCTGGTAGGACAGCGCTGGAGTGAAAGAGCCACGTTCAGATCACGACCTTTAAGCTGTGTGAGAGGAAACAAAGCGCCTTGACAAAGGAATTAGCATATAATTTAGCATTGAAATGGCTGAGTGATTAGCTTGTGACTGGTCACAGAAATAGCTATGTTAAAAGTTAAAGCATACACATCCGCAGAGGCACCCCTTGACAAACACACTCACAGTGCCCACCCTAACCAGTACCTCACTCAGTGGTTCGGCGCGTGAGGCTAAAAGCAACTGCGGTAAAGAATGTTCCTTGCTTTTCATCCCTCCAGTCACGCTAATGCTATCAACCACATCTATAACACCAAGCCACGATTAAAAAAGAACACACTGCTCACCGCAATGAGAACATCCTCCTGGCTATACGCAGTGGCGGCACGTGGCTGCAGTTTTGTGGGACACTTCCCTGCAGGATCCCCGGTTTAAGGTAACTCATGCGGGAGGAGAAATGGAATAGTTGCTATGTCACATCAAAGCGTTCATTAAAGCAGACCGTAAGTGTGTTACAATTTTTTCCCTCTCATTAGCAACATTCAATGAATCGATCTGAATGATTCCTTGGATCTTTTCGGTAAAGTCACCTAGATAGGTTCAAAGAAAATAACAAAAAAGTACGTTTCGATCGCAACGCCTATTTATAAATAGGTTGCCTTTAGAAGCTAACCCCCCTTTCCTGATGACAACCGCTTGTGTTGTGATCGAAACGTCGTAGTTTTTTGTTATTTTCTTTGAACCTATCTACGTGACTTTTCCCGAAAGACCCAAAGAATATGAATCCCTGCAGTCACGAAAGCTTTAAGTCAAGATTCGATCTGAATGAATCATCTGAAATTGGAAAAACTGACGCAGCGTTTTTGGCCCCATCAAGATTGAGCCACCAACTGGATTGAAGATTACTCCCCAGCTAAAAAACAAAGCACTTAGTCAAGGGGCACATTCTCTGTTCTTGTGCACGATTCTCCCTCCAGCGCAATACGGGAAAACCCGATGTAACTCGAGCAAAGTCGTATCCCCTGAAAACAAATTCACGTACGAGGATTAATGAAAGAAGAAGTCAAATTAATATAATTTGGTGATCACGCGCAGAGCAATGCGACACAACCACGGCCAGCTCCCAGGTGTCCAGTGGCCGGACCCAGCCCCCAACCCTCCCCTGTCCGTTGCTCGCAGTGCAGCAGCAGACAACAGTCAGACCCCACCCTCTCAACCCCAGCAGTTACACGTGTGCAGTTGGACAGACAGAGAGACAAATACACGGAGACACTCAGAGACACATACACAGACCTGAAAACACGCAGACACATGCATTTTATATTACGTGGGTAAGTAGCCTATAACATGGGCGTTATTCATGTCCCCCAAAGCTCGCTTTATAGCGGCCTTTTTGCAATGACTTCCAACCACCAAGTGGTAACCATCAGGTGGTAGTCATTTTATTGACCCTAGAGGGATGATGGCCTTAGGCGACCCTGATGTATTTACACATGCACACTATATGTACATACGGAAGACGCACAAACTTACAGATACGCAGAGATGTCATTGACGTGATTTGTATATGCACCCTATACAGTGTAACAAATACATGCATCATCACGTTCGCCTCATTTGCGCGGAGTCTCAACCCTGCATGTGGCAATATCCTCCAGGCTGGTGGTTTGATGCATGTGGCCCCTCCAACCTCAACGGCATGTACTACACGGCCGGGCAGAACACCGGCAAGTTCAACGGCATCAAGTGGCATTACTGGAAGGGCTCGAGCTACTCTCTGCGATCCACCACCATGATGATCCGACCGGTGGACTTTGGAGTGTGACGTCCGCCTAATGGACCCGATGAGACGCATTCCCTTCTGCTGGAACGCGGTGGCTGGGACGGAAGCCAGAGACGGACTTCCGTACGGCGTCACCGCTCACGTTGGGAATGCCGAGAGCCACGAACTGCAAACCAAAACCTTCCACACCTCCCCCACATCCCCGCAGCATATGGCTCCGTGCCACTGAGGATTCTCAATAAGATGAAGGTGAAGCTGACGACAAAACGACTCACCTGGTGCTGTGCCGTGCAAAATACACATTCATGTTTTGCGAACGCTTTGTTTCTGTACAGACCGCTGTTGTAATTACGTATTTTGCACCGCGTTATTACTCGAATAGTAAATGTCGCATACCCTCCTATTGTTATAATTTTATGTTTTAAATTAGTTTTGCCAAAATTTATATTGTAACCATGAGTAGGTATATGGGGTACGAGGCATCGATGCCACACAAGAGGAAAAAAAACTACTTCAGTGACATGTTCATTGCTGATTTGAAGCTTTCGTAACTGCGGGAATCCATACTCCTTGGTTCTTTTGGTAAAGTCACGTAGATAGAAAATTAATAGATCAAGACGTTTCGATCGCAACACAAGCAACCGTCATTAGGTGAGACAAACACAGCAGGAGAACTGCTGACACAGCAGGAGAACTGCAGAACTGCAGCTGACGCAGCAGTTCTCCTGCTGTGTTTGTCTCACCTGAGAACTGCTGTGTTTGTCTCACCTGATGATGGTTGCTTGTGTTGCGATCGAAACGTCGTGATCTATTAATTTTCTATCTATGTGACTTTACCGAAAGAACCAAAGAGTATGTTCATTGCTATTCGTTTCCTTTACACGTTTTAACTTCCTTGTAGAGTAAAGTGTTGTTGACCAGCATCTAAGACTGACTCTGCGAGACAGCACGTTTCACTTCCCCCATCGCACAGCCATACCTCTGATGTCCAAGTGACTACAGTCACAGTTTGTATGAATATTCTCATACTGAACTATATATTTAAACATTGTTGAGAAAACTCTGAAAGTAATATTCATATCTCTTTATGAGCAAAACGATAAGGGAGTTACTGCAACAGAAAAATATAGCAAGAGCCAACAATCAGACACGAAGAGATATATGACACGCAATATATTTTGAGAAAAAAAAATCAAGATCCTTTGTGGGTTTCTGACTTCAAAGTGAAAACATTGAGATCACTCCGCTGCACACTTAATGGACATTTTAACATGGTGTTGTCGGAATGCATTTAGCTATTAATTTTGCTAAACGGTAGTCTCATTATTTTATTGTTTTAAAAAGCAATTAAAACTCTCACCACATGTACGTTGTTGTTGCTAAACTTTGTTGAATTGTTGAATACTCCACAATGTGTTTTTATGATCGAAAAAAATGTTTAACTTTTTGTAAAATATGACAATAAAATAAAGCAGGGCCAATTTTGTAGCTTGTGCAGACCGGTGTATGCTCTCTTAAATACATATTCCTTTCAATACTTATTTACCTAGGAATCAGAATAATTATTTCGACTGGAGGAATCTGATGAGCTATGAAGCTCTTTTTCACAGATGTGCAGGAGGTGCTGTGTAGGTAACCTACACCAAATCCAAAGACTCTTTTTTTCAGTGTCCTCAATTGGGATGTTTGGCCAACACCAGTTACAGGGTTGTATGCCTTTAGCTATGGGAGGAATCCAGAGAAGCCAGAGGAAACCATGCGACACAGGTGGAGAACATACAAACTCCAGACAGAAAGGCGTCCGAATCAACAAAAAAACCCAGGTTCTTCTTGCAATGAGGTATGAGTGTTACCACTGCACCATCCTGCTATCCAAATACAGTGTCACTTACCTGCGCAAGTTTAAACAATTCCTACAAAATGACTTTAAACCGTACCGAATAAGAAAGGGCTCTTGGCCTTGAGTTGTGCATGCAGATCCTGTTGTTATTCACGACCCCTTGAGGGTATTTCATAAATCATGCGGGGTATTACAATACACCTGAGCATTATATAACTACTCAAGATGGCAAAAGGGACTTTGAGCCAGTAAGGGAGTGTTCTCCTTCCTGTCCACTCGCATAAAACGTCAAGGTCCAGTCGCCCCTGGCCCCGTCTGTAAAATACTTCTTCGATAAACTCTCGCATCTTCCTTCATAATAAAGGTTTTTGGGTTAGATCGGGTTTATTTATAAATGTGTCGTAACCCTCCACCACCCGACACGGGTAAATGTGGATTCACTCTTCAACACACCGGTGGGCTAAAGTAGTGAATTATTTGTCTTTTGTCAACGTGACACTTTTTTTGCTGATTGGCCGTGTCGGGTGGTGGAGGGTTACAACACATTTATAAATAAACGCGATCTAACCCAAAAACCTTTATTATGAATAATATTGGTCGCGAAAGCCTACGTGTTAAACTCTCGCATCTTCCCTTCACCGATATTTGCGTGGACATCACACAGCTGTAGGCCGCAATGATTTACCCATTTCCTCTTTCACTGTAAAAGTAAGAAATTGGCATCTGATAACATTCCAGTTATTACCAGTTGCTCAGCTCGGGTTCAGATATTTGCAAGCAACACATTCTCATGAATAACCCTGTCATAACATGAAAACGCGTGTCACTTACTTGAGCAGCAGGGAACGTGTCGGTCATCTCATAAGGCTCCTCCTCAAGCCAATGTCCACACTCCGCTGACTCCAACACCTGGCGCAGACCACAGCAGTGAAGAGAAGCTGTCAAGACTGTGCAACACAAGTTCAGAAATGGTCATTCACAAGCACAACTTAAACATAAACTTCACCACCTAGTCAAGTCATGTGGTCTCATCAAACAATGTACAGGAGGTTAACCGCTCAGGCAATGGCCATTTTCAGAGTTGTAAAAGGAGAGTTTGGTTTATTTTGGCAGAGGTAAAACTCCGAGATAATTTGACTGACAGATAGTTTTGCACTTTAGAGTGTGGTGCCTCGATAATAATAGAATAGTTGAAGTTAACATACGAACAGTTTTAATGGACATATGAATGGTTAATGTGAACTCTATACTCTGCAAGAGCATTTACTGAAACACAGCCTGATTTACATTGAATGTTATAAGGCAATGTCAGTGCTGAAAATGGTGAGTATTTATTACGTGATCCTGACTTGACAGGCCATGCAAAGTTTATTTTCTAAAGGTTGAGCAAATTACAAAACGCACAATAAAACAACTTGAGGTATACATCATGAGGTCATGATATTAATATCACAATCGTGTTTGTCTTGGACCACGACAACAAAGTTAAAGTTACAGTTGTATCATCTTGACTCAACATGTCAACACTTATGATCTTCAATGTGCTGCCATTTCTCAATGCAAACACAGCTGCAGTTATCGAACTTGATCAAAAGATTAGGTGAGGCAGGCCACGCAGGACACACAAGACAGAAACACTGCCAACTATGCAGTGGGAAGCTGAGCTGGGAACACAGGCTGGAGGACTAAGTGAGAAATCCAGGCCCCAAGCCAAGGATTCAGGCCTAAGATAAAGGCTCGCGGGCAGACGAATTAAAACACGGCGATGCGATCCTCGCGATCGCAGCAGGAAGGGGCCATGGATCCCGTGGCTCCGGACATTACGAAGGCCGCCTCACCCAAGCAAGCGAGAGCAGCCAGCAGCCACGCACGATGCCGAGCAGCACATTGAGCGTGCGGCGCGGTGATCCCAGCACCACATGCGTGGTGCTCTCCTGCACGTCCTCGCTGAGCTCGAAGCCACCCAGCTTCCTCACCACACGGTGCACCCTGCTCTGCTCCCTGCGCGCACAGCCATGCCACGACAGATCAGACACTCGACTCACAAAGAGAGTTGCCACCTGGTCTGGTTTTCCCAGGAAGTCGTAGTTTTGAGGCAGCTGTTGCCCTGGGAAATCTCTTAAGTCTTCCCAGGAAGTTAAAAGTCTCTGTTTTTGTCAGTTGCGTAATAATAAACATACTCCACTCACTCAAGACAAAGCATGGACATGTAGTTCTCCTCTATTCGTGTATTGTAAGATATTCTTATTGCCATGTCGCAGTTTTTGTAGCTCAGTTGGCAAACCCACTCAGAATGTTAACTTTTAAGGACATTTCTTGACTGTTTTTAAACTCGTTTTTTAAAGTATTAAATCATCCAGCATTTCAATAGTTGCACCACTTTATAATGATGATTGCAAAAATACACTCACTCAGTGTGCAGGCTTGTCAACACCAACGATTGCCTTTGCTGAATGAAAAGACAAAAAAATTAATAATGAAATGAAAAAAAGTCGACATTTAATTGAAGTGACTTGCTGTGTACAACATAAATATTAAACAACTTTCATCTAAACTGGAGTCGCCATAGATACACGAGTCGGGAAGTTGGTGATATATATATATTTTTTTACACGTAAAATCAGGGCTAAATCAAGCAAACAACCCGTAGTTTAATCTTGCATAAGATATTTTACATCATCAGGAAAAGGTAACATTTGATCCGTAAATTATTTCCCTGAGGTAACTGTGCGGTATTTGTGGCTGTGCGGTCCGCACTCGACGCTGTGTTGCGCTGGCCGTGTGCCTTCTCCCAGACACGGCGCTCTTCTTCTGAGGCGGCTGCCTCCTCAGGGCAAGCGACCGTGGAAGATTCTGCAAAAATACCACACACAGGAAACAAGACAAAATGTTCATCCAAAGCAAACGGATATAATAATTATTGTTTTTAAAAACAGCCACTCGAACACGTTTGCAGAGTCAATAAAACATTGAAAATAAGCAGACTTAAATTTGCATGTTAGATCTGTAAAATAAAAAAAATCAAGCCATGTAAGTACGAAGCCCTACTTAAAGCACAGATTGTGTCCGTTCAAAATATCTTTATTGAGCCGTTAACTTTAGTGTTCAAGGAATATAATGCAATTTAAATGCATAAAGCATCCATTCATTACATTACCAATTAAATATTTATTTTTATAATGGAAAAAGCGCAATTGATCATAAAGAGGTTTTCGAGCGCTGTACAGTGTAACAAAACAACTTTCAATAAATGTCACAGACACGTGCGTAAGCAACACAAGGTTTGATATATATTAGAAATGAGGCAAAATAACAGTACCTTCTTCAAAATGGTCAACACACGTCATTGACACTGCCTTCTCATAACAAAACAAATGACCACATTTCTCCAAATTGAGTGAAGATAACTTGTGAAATAATAGTTTTAATTTATTTCTAAAAGGGAGAATCTCAAGGTCAGGCAGTGTTCTAAATATGAGGACAAAGGAGTGAACCAACTTGAACTCCACAGTGGTTTTGATCATCGCGTGGCTGACAGAGAGACATGGGGTTTGAGGACCTCAAACTTCTGACAGGATTACTGTGGGGCTGCAGTTTCTCAGTCAAATAGTGAGGAGGAAGCTGTGAATAAAACAGTAATTTATACTGTGCACGGAGCTCAACTGGAAGCCAATGGAGGATTCGGTGCAGTTCGGAAAATCTGGGTCCCGATGGGATCGGCGGTCAAGGATCGCGCTGAGGCATTCTGAATGCCCGGTGGCAGTCGGACTGGACATCGCGACACCCCCAATGATTACCATCGTGGAGGCGAGACGTTACCGGGGCACTCAGAACAGGAGCACAATCTCCACCACAGAGAAATGGTTAGACCGTTTTGATGGTCCATAGGTGCAACAGACAGGTTTTTACTGCTTGTTTTATCCAGGGATAAAAATACAGGGCATTATCTAACACCAAACCCAGACTAGTAGTTCTATTGACGAGTAGAGGAGAAGTTTGATCAACAGTTAAAAACGATTTCATACGCCTCAGGTCACCAAGTCTATACTCCAGCCCAACCAGCAGGTATTCTATTTTATGTGGGTTCAGTTTCAACCAATTGCCAGCCATTCAGCTGCTCATCCCGAATTTCAAGGTAAAGCTGAGTATCATCTGTGTACTGGTGAAAAGTTGTCCCAGTGGCTTAATAGAAATGTTAAATAGCAGGGGAGATAATACAGAACCTGCGGGATTCTGTTGGCAACTGGCCAGGCTGAAGAGGAATTGGGACCCATTGGTATTTTTTGGGAGCAATCAGAAAGAAACGCCCTCATCCAGTCGAGTGCAGTCCCACAGATTCCCATGGTTTGTGAGAGTTTAGATGACCACATAAAAGCATGGCATTTCACACTCTGCAAAGGCTAGGCATAATACTTAGTGATGTGATGTCAGTTTGTTTGGATATGGTTGATGGTAGAAACACCTTACATAAACCCTGCTTGCTCATGTGGTTGTCTGGCCTCTACATGTTCTATTTAACTTCAAGACACCTCTTGGAGAGAGACAGCTGTAACAGTAACCAGGGTACGTATACCAAGAGCATGTTACTGAAGGCAGACTGGCTGCAGCATGAAATATAAAGGGTGACAGCAGGCTGCAGTGCTGTTGTAGAGGAGACTAACGCCTGAGTAACAGCCAACGGAGAGACGAGCACCCGAGAGGGCATCCGCCGTGGAGATGGAGCAATGACGACGGCTTGTGCGCACGAAGCCATCATCCAGCAGCAGACCGATCATGGGTAGTGATGATGATGGTATTGATGATGAAATAATGCATAGGAGCAGTATTATCCTTTGAGGCAGCCCAGCACCCTGCATTTGATATCTAAGCTAAGTCATATCAGTGGCCTTCGACTGTACATGCAGCTTACATTCACCACATCCCCAAGATTGCTCATGACTCTTGAATTACTGTCTTAACAAGAGTTTCTACACTTCTCGAAAGTCGTGAAATATTGGATACAATTGACGCTAAAAAAAGTTTCTACGGAAGTATAACTGACATTGTAGATTGTGAGAAACGAAATCAGTTGACCAGTACTATTAATAAAGAACCATTTTACACGGCAACAGTACGATCACCTTCTACGTTCACAGTTTGTTTTCAAGCAACTAAAAAAAGAAAAACTTCAAGTGTGCCAGGGAAATAACTTGCAAGGCTTTATATTACACTGTGCTCAATACGTATATTGTAATCAATAATTAAAGCAAGAGGATGTTTTCTGCTTGCCTATTATAATTTGTACATTTTCCTTTTAGGCCAGTGTCATTTGAGTAACGTGTTGGGTTTTGCATTCACTAAACGAGCTTTTGGCATTGCCTTTTAACAGCGCCGCTGTTCACGGTTGCCTGCGTTCAGTTCAGCAACACGATGGCCACATTTCTCAGCATGTTGTCTCCTTGACGAAGCCCTCTCGCAGCTGTATTTTCTATTATTGAACTATCCGGAATTTTTCCATTCGTATTTACATGTCGATCCGGAGCTTGCAAAGTATTCAACAGGTCTGTGCCAATCAAACTCAAGTGAAGCTCTGACTGAACGTGTAGGAATGGGAAATAAAGTATTACAACTCGCCTTAGCGCTAACATTAGATTGTAATAGTACAATGTTTTTTTTTAAGAAAATGCTACTCTTTAACTTTTATAACAAAAAAGGTTTAACGCTATTTACCTTAGTTTTGTGTTGTGTAACTATGAATTTGTAAACTATGAAAGCGTGCACTCTGTGAACTCGCACTAAAGATCGCACAATCCTTAGCAGCGTTAGTGTTTGATATTCTGTCCTTACTCACACCGCAGATCGTCAAGGCAATGCTTGCAAACCCACAGAAGTGATGAAATCACCTCCTAAACGCACGCATAATAAGCGTCCTTAACGACCAACGTTGTTCCGATGTTCACCATTACTCAGGGCTCCCACATATATGTTTTTACTCAAAATTGAATCCAAGCTTAACACAAAAAAAGAAGCGACAATTCCCCTGCTGTGTAAACATTTTTCTTTGTGTTGGCAAGTGCTACGCAATTCCTTCAAGTCGCTCCCCTCATAAAACTAAATAACGTGTAGTGTACACAGCTGGCTCTCAGGCTTCCTCCACCATGCACAACATACATGTCCTGCTTGCAAACCGAAAAATCAACTCGCTCACAAATATCGTGTTGGTTTTTTTCCCTCGTGGAAGAGTATACCTTAATTTAATGTCACTATACAAATACGTCCTTTATATACTCATGTTTTAAACAATAACAGAAAACAAAGGTACATTTATGGATACAGTTATATTTTGGGAAATGTCTTTCAGGCAGTTGGAATTATATGCACTTCAGAATTAGCAGCTCCTGCAATGCAATAATCCAGCCAGCACATCAAAAGGAGCCGATTTAATCGCTCCATCTCGTTGGAGCTCCTCCTCTTGGACACGTTCCATTCCATCAATATTCATTGTCCCTTTCCACGATGTAACCTGCCCAAGCCCATTTACTTTTACTAACAGTTTCAATGATGACATTAACCGTCATATACTCCACGTGTACCGCCGTATTAAAACCATAACTACACATATGGTAGATGTGTTATATTTTGAATTCAAGGCGACTGCCTTTGTGTCTCCGTGTATGTGTCTTGTCTCTCTCTCAAATGTCACACTTAACTTAAGTTTGTGTCTCTGTGTTGTCTCGCCCTGTGTTTCTGCCTTTGTGTCTACGTGTATGTGTCTTGTCTCTCTCCGCAGTCCCTGTGGGCATGCTAATCTGTATCTCCCCCCCCCCCGCTCTGCCCCACGTTCCCTTGGTACATGCTGATTTTGTGCCCTTCCCCACGCTGCGGCGACATGTGTGTGGTGTGCCTCCACTTGCTCCAAGTCAGTCCCTGCTAATTTGTATCCCTTTATCTCTCAGTCTCTGCCCCCCCCCTCTCCCTCTATTTAAGGCTTCGGCACAGAGACAGTTTCACTGTGTCCCATATGTGTGTCTCTATCTGTATGTCTCTGTGCTAACTCTCTCTGCTTAGATGTCTATATATGTCTGCGATCTGTACTCTATCACTCTCTTAAATTTAGCAATCCTTAGAGGAACGTAATCAGCCAGGTAGAGTGTTGACTGTTGTTGGCCTGCTATCTACGCTGTATTGTATTATATTCCTCTCTGTGTCTCTGCTTCTTCTCTCTCTAGTTTTATGTCTGTTTTTTGTGTCTCCGTATATAGGTTCTTATCTCTCTCTCAAATTTTCACACTTAACCTATAATTTAGTAATCTTTGAAATAACGTAATAAACCAGACCATGCGTTAATTGTGTTTTGACCGACCCTCTGTGTTGCATTATATTGTTTCCAAATTTTACTAAATCGTGTTCGATTTGATGTGCTTCTCCATCTCTACATGCTTCTCCACCCCTACATGCTAAGGCTTCGGCACAGAGACCCTATCTCTCTGTGCTCCATACGTGTATCTCTCTTTGTGTCTGTGTTAACTCCCTCTACTTAGGTGTCTGTATATATATCTGCGGTTCTGTTTCCTCTCTCTCTTAAATTTAGCTCTTCTGTGCCTGATGATGATTGCTTGCGTTGCAATCGCAACGTCGTATGCTATTATGTAATTTTATTATTATTATTATTTCGTATTTCTACGTGACTTTACCGAAAAAACCAAAGAGGAAAGAAAAGGTTATCATCATATTGTCTGCGTTGTAGCTCTGTTGGAGCATGAGCAAATCTAAGTGGTAAAATTGTTTTCAAACCTTATAGAAGATGTGTCCAAAGAGTGAATTCTGAGTAAAATGTATCTTAGGATTTATATTCAAAAAACATTTAACTTTATGGAGCAATAAAACATCTTTAATGTAAACTTCAAACAATTTTAAAACACAAGTTTATTGGATCATTAAAAACTCTTCAATAAAATACTGTATACTAAAATACAAATAACATGCATCAAAACACCTGTTCTGGCTAATTTGTATGTTTTTACATTTTATCCAAAATATCTGTGAAGTAATTTTTGTAAAGTTTGTCAATGAATGGGCGTACATTACGTAGGCAACGCATGTATGCCTCCGGCGATGCAATGCTCTCGTTACGATGCTGGGTCGCAATTATAATTGTCATGTTTGTATCATCTCATTTATATTCTTGGGTCTTTCGGTAAAGTCACGTAGATAGGTTTAAAGAAAATAACAAAAAAACTACGACGTTTCGATCGCAACACAAGCGCTCGTCATCATCCTTCCCGATGACGAGCGCTTGTGTTGTTATTTTCTTTGAACCTATCTAAGTGACTTTACCGAAAGACCCAAGAATATAAATTCCTGCAGTCACGAAAGTTTTAAGTCAAGATCATCTAATTTATATTGTCATTTCATTTGTCTCAATTTTGTTATTTACTCCAATATCCTACATATAACAGCATATTACTGGGACATAAATTGAATAAATAATAAATTATCGCACAAACATGATTCACTCCTTGTACCATGAGTATAATAATTTATAATGAATTAAACATTGGATGCCTGTGTTACATCTGGGCCCATCCTTTTTTTGCACACGTCTTCATCACTCTTTCTAACACATCTGATGGATTAGACAGACGAGCAATGTCCGAGGCCATTCCGCAGTAGCCGAGCACAAAGTGCATCAATAGCTAAAGGCGCTTGGCTACACAAACAGCCATTTTGGTTAATACCTTCACCAAGGCCACAAAAAACACAAACTAACTTAATAGTTAGGATTTTTAATACAACATGCGATTAGAATATCCTATATGCAGATTATGTTAGTGAAGGTGTTACACAAGGCAGTTTGCCATGCAGGAGTACAACAATAAAGGCCAATGATTACACGTGCTCCATGTGACATTTCTCTAGGAATGTTGAGGTTCATATTGCCGGTACATTTCTTGAAGTTCGCAAAGCTACAGCCGATGACTTCTGACAACCAGGTGGAAAGTGGTGCGACTCATTCAATCATAATCTTCTCCCTACAAAAGGAGTTTGAAGACAATTAGAAAGGGAGCTGTGCATTTTGTCTTACTAGATTAATAATGAACTAAAGTTAATTCAAAATAACAAGTATTTGCAGCTCACATTTCCAATCTTGCTTTGGTAGAAACCTGTCATTTTCTATTACTCATGTCAGCATACCTCTAACCAATAGGGCTCATTACAAATATATATAGATTCTATCACATGAAAGCATATCCATGTTTTATTTTATGCTGCCAAAGAAAGTAAACCTTGACTGGTATAGCAATGCAACCACATTCTAGATGTGTTGGATATTTGCATGCCTGGGTGTTAAACCTGACCCAATAAGTCTAGAGTACGCATGAGAAAATCTAACTTCACAGCCTTTATATTCTTGGTTCTTTCGGTAAAGAACCAAGAATATGAATCCCTGCAGTCACGAAAGCTTTAAATCAAAATTTCACAGCCTTTGTTGGAAAAAGATAAAATTACAATGGTAATTTACAGCCATTCTCAATTTACATATACTTTCCCGGCAGCACAGATGTTAAACATGTTCTAAAAATGTGTTTTTGTCATTTACCAACCTGCTTTCCATCATTCTTTGGCTTTTCAGATTCTTTCATTGTCACCATGAGTTTCAGCCTCCCAGACCTTCTGGGACCTTTCTGGGCCCTCTCTGCACCACTCGATGGCTTTTCTGCAATAAAAGAACAATTTCCACATTTGTTACCCTGCAAAATGGTTTGCAACTAAACAAGATTATAATGTCATTGCTATTTAAACAAGGCATTTTAAAAGTTAGTGATGCATCGCTTCAATGACCATCGCCAGCAATCAACATCGGTTTCTAGCCCTGAGTTATTGGGAGAAATTCCACATTGCTTTGGTGATAACAAGTTTCTATACATAGAAGAACACTGGTTTGAAACAAAGTAACCCACAATTATTGATATACGAAAAAACAGATTCCACAATTTACGCATTGGGTGGTCACGTAGGACTGGTGCGCACACATCGAAAAATGTCAAGTATTACGATTTCGAGATTAACACTAATTATTATCTCATTTGTGTTTGTATCTAATGTTCTATGCAGGCGACCCACGGTGGCTCACTGTGCCAAGTGGTCAATGTTGAGTCACTCGGGTGTTCCCTACATTTGTATCTCAATGTATAAACTCTTACTGGACATGCAGAGAATACACATGCAAGTGTATATGATGCTCTTTGTGTAATGCATTGTATAACCACTGCAAACTTTCCATACAGAGGTTCTCAGTATAGTGACCCATGATAAACGATGAGCTTAGTCACACCCATATTTTATAGATATGGTCCACAACATATGCCAGTAAACATTTAACTGTTACCAATGGATATTAACAGATGTTCAATGAACATCTTGTAAAAAATTACAGTATATCACTGGCTTATCAGTGCTTGTCTGAAGTTTGCAAAATATTATAAATCATTATGCAATTCACTGATGTATGTGAAGTGACTGCCCATTTTACTTCAGTAAACATTAAGCAGGCATGCCTAAAGGCCTCACCACTCAGTTTGCAAACAGAAGTCATTAACAACTATTTGCCGAAATGTATATAAAAATTTACAGATATAAGTTGTAACTGTAATAAAGCTTGTATGGATTATAAGCAATTCAACATATTATCCTAGCAACATTGTATGTGTAGTCTCTTGAAAATAGAAGCACAAAAAAGCATTGTTTTAATGTTTGCCTCTCTTAACATTGTTTTTAAGTTCATAAAAAGAGGCTCGTATTAATATGTACAAATCATTAATATACTTAATAATGGATGCTTAACATCTGCTAAAACAATGAAGAGTGGCACGAGGCAGTGTTTTATATTACAAATGTGCTATTTTGCTTTAGCAAAGTGTAAATGCTTCATACCTTGGTGCCTTGAGACAACGGGATCTTCCTTCTGCACAGAAACTTGTCGGGATCCCACAATGTCTGGAAAACTGGGAATATTTGTGTTTATTGTTGGACTTTCCTTTCCCGACTCGGAATTCTGTGCCAGACGGTCATTGCCGGATGCATCATATCCACACAAGTCTGAAACCGTGCTGTCTGTATCGGTATCTTTTTTCTCCTGTTCAACAGGTGGCCTTGGACTCTCCCGTCGTACCACATGGGTTGTGTAGGTCACTTCAGCTAAGTATCCTTCCTGTTTCACAGAATAAAGCCTAAACTTCTTAACACCTTTGTTATTTGTGATACTATGAGTGGCAGTCGTTTTACCAACAATATCAGGCCCACGCGTTTTTTTTGATTGGGGCTTCATTTGAGGCTCTTCGTCAATTCTCTGTTGCTGTGGATTACTGGAAGTTCTAGTTGGGCCATCTAATGAAACGAGTCTACCTCCTGTGATTTTAGATCCATCTTGGCTCTCTCGTCGACTATTTGTATTAGTTTTTGGTGTGCCAAACAAGGCAGAGACCCTTTTAATAACGTCTTGATTCCTTGGCGCTAGCTCTTGAACATTTTCTGGCAAGAAGTAATCGTCGAATGGTGAGATACAGTCTAAAATTATGCCAGAACTTGGAGATTCTGGAACTTGCTGTGACTTTTGCTTCTTCCTCGACCTTGCGGACTCTGGTGTCCTGGTATACTCAACGTGTGTCCTCTTCCTACTTGTTTCAAACACTGCAGAAGTTGCTGCAGATTGTTCAGAATGAAAACCCATTCCGCAAGCTGAATTAGAATGAACTATTGGTGCCAGATCACCTTCTACCATATCTTCTTCATGTGCAGCAATATTTTCTCGAATAAGACGAGTAGCCTTGTATCTCTCAGAAGTGGCTGTTTCCATACGCACTTCACCGGTAACCGGGATGTCATCAGAAGAGTTATGTCCACCACAGGTATTTTTGTCCTGGGAATTGGAACTTGTCTTGCTAACAGTGTCTGTCAGTGACCCTATATTGGTGGAGGAGCTCTGCATCTCCATATCAGTACATAAAGGCACTGGGAGAACATCAGCGAGATCAAAGGAACTGAGTTCTGAAGAATTTCTACAATTCCCTGTCGAAGTTTGATGCTGGCAAACCTCTCCCCTGTTTTGATCAGACGTGACAATATTCTCCAAGCGTTTTCTTCTCGATTTTTGAGGATGTCTATGACTGCTATTTGATTCAGTAGCATTTGAGCTTCCAAGAGGTGACACGTTTGGTGTCTCTTGCACTACGGCGTGCGAGAAGGAAGAATCCTTTTCGGAGACGGAACGCTGTTTTGATTTCATGCGACTGTTATCCAGGGAGACATCAGAGTCCGCTACAAAACTGTGACAAGGGCTCGGTGTTGACAATTCCTCCTCTCCTGGTTCAGACTCTTCTCCTGAGCGAAGAACAAAACTCCCCTTTAGGATGATTGCATCGACATGTAATTGACGATCACGATGATTGGTTTCATTACTACATTCTGTTTAGTTTTATAACATTTCACCAAATGAAGATAAACATTTACGTGCACTAGTTATGCAAAAAAAATGTATTTGAAAGTACATGCTAAATAAAGATATAGTTGTGTATTTAATTCGGTAAAAACACATTGAGATACATCTCTTTTTTTTAAACTAGGAAACATATTTTAAGCATGACTTAATATGTTACTGTACAGTAATAGGTTTTACCCTTTTAACTGGCACAAAAACTGACACCTTTATTCAAGGCATCATGTTTGCAATAACCACAACACAAGCAGTCAAAATCCAAACAAAAGAGACAACTCTGATAATAATATGCACTGTCCTTGAATTTGATTGGTCCACACCCGAGACAGCTTTTCTTAGAGCCTAGGCTCCACTGGTGTTGGACCAGATGACGCCAAAAGGCGTACAACTCAAAAACAGCGCACTATCAGAGTATTGAGGGCTCGGGGTGAGCATTTACATTATGAGACCTCCTTTGCCAGTAACAAGATATAGTAATAGGTTTTACCCTTTTAACTAGCACAAAAACTGACACCTTTATTCAAGGCATCATGTTTGCAATAACCACAACACATGCACTGTCCTTGAATTTGATTGGTCCACACCTGAGACAGCTTTTCTTAGAGCCTAGTCTCCACTGGTGTTGGACCAGAAGACGCCAAAAGGCGTACAACTCAAAAACAGCGCACTATCAGAGTATTGAGGGCTCGGGGTGAACATTTACATTATGAGACCTCCTTTGCCAGTAACAAGATATAGTAATAGGTTTTACCATTTTAACTGGCACAAAAACTGACACCTTTATTCAAGGCATCATGTAAATGCTCACCCCGAGCCCCCAATAATGTTCTGGTCCAACACCAGTGGAGACTAGGCTCTAAGAAAAGCTGTCTCGGGTGTGGACCAATCAAATTCAAGGACAGTGCATATTATTATCAGAGTTGTCTCTTTTGTTTGCATTTTGACTGCTTGTGTTGTGGTTATTGCAAACATGATTCCTTGAATAAAGGTGTCAGTTTTTGTGCCAGTTAAAAGGGTAAAACCTATTACTATATCTTGTTACTGGCAAAGGAGGTGTCATAATGTTACTGTACCTTAGGTTTGCCATTTAAACAGATAGGCAATCGAAACATAAGTTTGTATTCAACAATCATAACCATATTTTGATTAAATTTCGATTTAAAGCTTTCGTGACTGCAAGGATTCATCTTCTTTGGTTCTTTCAGTAAAGTCACGTAGAATGAGAATAAAATAATAAAATAAAATAAGACAATAAAATTCTCATGACATTTCGGCCACAACACAAGTAGCCTTCTTCAGGTGAAAGAACAGAACTGTCGGGACGACAGAGCTTGAATGAACGCTGTTAAGATTCGTAGCGTCTTTGAAGCTCGGTGAGAGGCGTAGAGAGCCTTGACAAAAGAGTTTACCTATCAAAGCAGGAGAATTTAGCATTGAAATAGCTGAGGGATTAGCTTGTGACAGAAATAGCTGTGTTAAAGTCAAAGTTTACATATCAATAGATATAAGAAATAAAATAAAATTACATAATAGCATACGACTTTACCAAAAATACCAAAGAGTAATTCCTGCAGTCACGAAAGCTCCAAATCAAGTTGAACCACCTCTACGGGGAGGTATGGAGTATGTTTCTTTGTGTTGACTCTGTTTGTGTCTCCGTGTATGTGTCGTGTCTCTCTCTCAAATGTCACACTTAACTTAAGTTTGTGTCTCTATGTTGTCTCTACCTGTGTTTCTGCCTCTGTGTCTACGTGTATGTGGCTTGTTTCTCTCCACAGTCCCTGTGGGCATGCTAATCTGACTTCTGTGCCCCCTTCCCCCCCCTCACCACGCTGCATCGGCATGTGCGGTGGCTTCCAGTCCATGTGGCTTGTTTCCCTCCACAGTCCCTGTGGGCATGCTCTGACTTCTGCATGTACGGTGGCTCCCAGTACATCTAATTTGTATTCCTTTGTTCTGTCTCCAACCCCTCCCTCCCCTCTATTTAAGGCTTCAACACAGAAGCATTGTTTCACTCTGTCCCATGTGTGTGTCTCTCTCTGTGTGTCTCTGTGCTGGCTCTCTCTGCTTGAATGTCTGTATATGTGTCTGTGATCTGTACTCTATCACTCTTAACCTATAATTTAGCAATCTTTGAAATAACGTAATCAGCCACACCATGCGTTGTGTTTTGACCGACCCTCTGTGTTGCATTATATTGTTTCCAAATTTTACTAAATCTTGTTCAATTTGATGTGCTTCTCTAGCTCTCTGTGTTTCCTCTCTCTCTTAAATTTAGCTCTTCTATACCTGATGATGATTGCTTGCGTTGCAATCGTAACGTCGTATGCTATTATGTAATTTTATTATTTCTTATTTCTATGTGACTTTACCGAAAAAAACAAAGAGTAATCCTGCAGTCACGAAAGCTCCAAATCAAGTTCTCCTGCTTTGATAGGTAAACTCCTTTGTCAAGGCTCTCCACGCCTCTCACCGAGCTTAAAAGACGCTACGAATCTTAACAGCGTTCATTCAAGCTCTGTCGTCCCGACAGTTCTGTTCTTTCACCTGAAGAAGGCCACTTGTGTTGTGGCCGAAACGTCGTGAGAATTTTATTGTCTTATTTTATTTTATTATTTTATTCTCATTCTACGTGACTTTACCGAAAGAACCAAACAACATATTTTGATTGCATATTTATTGGTGAAAAAGCATATTTTTGCATAACGATGAACAGCAATTCTCCACGATATACTGCAAGACCTGACATTGAACAAAGCACAGGGTGCACTGAATACCAGAGGCATATTTTAGTTCGGCCAAATTCTGGCCTTTTTTTTTTACTCGGCATTTGCCAAACTGTCCAGAGTAAATAGCTTGGAAGCAGGGTAATGTATGTAATACTTGTGCATGTGAAATCACGAAATCAGCAGGTATAAGTGCACAAACGTATATTTTGCAAGCACTTTGGGGCGCTGCATGGTAATGCTGTGCAAGTTCCCACATGTTTTGTGCTTTCTCTTTGTCGAAGCACTTTCCCAATACCTTTCTCCTGCCATCTCTCCGTCATATATCTCATCCGAGTACATCTCTCACCACATATCATTGTCCCTCTTCGATGTCATCTAAATGCAGCTATTTAATACCTCTCATCTCACTATATGTCTCATATCTATTATCCAATCTCACATATCTGTCTCTTGCCTACATCTCTCGTATAGGTTACATTGTGTATCTCTCTCGCAGTGTCACAATTTCTCATATCACTGCCGCTTCCATCTGTTCTGTCTTTATGATTATGTCTTCTACCTCGAATCAGTCTTCTCTCTCATCTCACTAATTTCATCTCTCGTACAAAAAAAACATTTTACGATTGACATCCATCTCCAGCCACGTAGCTAATTATTAATAATAATTAAAATATATAAACTCAACCAGACACGTCAAGAACACCAAACTAATAGGAAAAATAATGAGGTGACCTTTTGGGCAATGGCCCTTCTTCATCACGCGTAGATAGGCCAATTTGTGAAGTGCAAATTCACAAATTGCCGCCTATTGTATATATTTATTTTAAGGCGGCAGTGTTTAAGATGAATGCGTTGAGTTTTCTGTGATGTGCTTATTCACCACTCCCAACATAGATTGCTTTAAAATAAAAAATATCACAATGCTGAAACTTACCCAACAGAATGTTAAATAAAGAGCAGGAAGGGACATTTGATGAGCACTGTAGTGGAGAGGCAGAGCCATCAGGTGATTGGCTCTGGCTCACCATCTGTGAAGCTTCAAGAAATTAACAGAAAACAGATTTGTCAATCAGAAAACTCATGCAGTGACACTGAACAACTCATCACATAAAGATATGTTATTAAACAAATATTACACAAAGTGAACTATTCTATATGTATATTTTAATTTGCATGAACATCAATGTGATACGTACAGTTGAACACAGTTTAACGTATTACACAAAAGTAACAACATTTATTTTGCAGAATTGGTAGCTTTATAAATAAAGTTTTTACAGATTTTAAAGAATCATTACATACATACTCAACTTAAAAAAGGACAAAATCACAATGCAAACACTCCAGCTGACTGATGCCCTTAACGCTAAAACCTCGCACCCACTTCGTCAGATGTGCAGACTAATGTACCAGTCAAGGAGATATTCTCACGCCTCGTCTTCATCTCCTGCAGCTTGTCTGCCATAGACTTGACCCTGTCCAGGACTGGTGAGCGAGTCACCCTGGAGCTGAACACTGGCTGGCCCTCACCATCAAACGCCAAGATGAGGCAATCGGGGCCTGTCAATAACAATGCAGACACCAGTTCTCGCTCTTCAGCTTACGACGGGGTAAGTCATTGCCGTTACATATTTACAGTGCTTAAATCATGTTACTTCGTGTCATGAACATTTATAACAGACTTAAGAAGTTAAATGCACTTGTACGGTTTGTTTTCACAGTAAAACACTCATATCTAAAACATTCACTTTGATGAACAAAAATGTTATCAAATTATATGTTTAATTGCATGCATAATAATGTCATATTTATAACGTGCATAAAATTGGTCGAGTGAGTTGCGACATGCTGAATTATCTGGGGTATGTTATCAAAGCCTTTAACGCCATGCATAGTTTATCCTACGAGCAATTAACACCATGTAAATATGAATGAAAAAACACATGGATGCATTTACAAAGATAACATGAAGTTTATTTTTTCTAGAGCATTAAAGTAAATCCTGTAACCAAAGTGTAGTATTACCATACAAGTTGGAAGCTCCATATTGTTTTGGTTAAAAAATTAAGTCTTAAACCATAGCAACCTTTAAGAAACATTAACACAACCGAATTTGGCATAATATATAGTCATAAGCATCACAACAGGTGTTCGTTAAAAGTTGGCAACTGTAAAAAGCAATGCTGTAGAATGCAACCAGAGTAAAGCTTGTAAGTAATTTAAAAGTATGCTCTGCATGAAATTTACTCTTCCAAAATCTTACCGAGCTAAACAACAGTAGGCAAGTGGTTGCTCTACTGAAATAGTGGCCCTCACCATAGGAACGTGAAATATATACCAATGGCTTCAACCCACAAATGAAGATAGAGATTCAGCTACTAAAACAAACCGGGTTGGAAAGGTGACGCCGTGGTTAGCACATTGCACTATGAATCTGGCGACCTGAGATTTATTCGCAGCCAAGGATAACATTAGTGGCAAATGATTGAACTGGTCCCGGGTCCCCTTCACCAGCCCTACTGAAACATATAGTGAGGTATGGCCAAACAAATCTCATGACCAACACCGTTTAAATGTGTAGTGACATGGAATGGGTCACTATGGCATGTAGCGCTGGCTGCTGGCAAGAAGAGGCTCGGCTGCCATAGCAACCCTGTCGGCCAGCAGGTGAGGGGGTAAGCAGGAGGAAGGGATGTGGGGAGAAAGTGACGGAGGGGGTACGGGAGAAAGCCCAGAAACCTTCTAGGAGGTTCTAGAAGGGGGCGTAGCCAGGGGAGAGCGAAGCTGCGCTGGGGGGATAAAAGGGGAACCCGGAGAGGACTCGGGGCCGTTGTTGGAGTGGACCCCTGGAGCTCGTCAAGTCTTAGTCATCGTCTTCAACACCGTCTCTACCCTCGTCTTCAGCGTTGTGGGTCAGGCAGCCTGTTGCTGTCCTGACCCGATTAAAGTATTCCCTGTGCCTGCGAAGGCTATAAATAAACAGAGTGCCTCCTCCTATGGTGTCTCTCTAGTGCATGACTACGAATGTATAAAAAATCAAATGGAGGTTCATGGCTCACCCACAGTAGCCGTTTTCTGGTTATCCAGTTGCTGCGTCAGTTTTTCGAGCTTCTTCTGCAGCCGCTTGTCCCTGCTGCCCTCGTCCTCCAGGTCATACACACACAGAGGCCGGCGCCAGCGACGCTGCCAGGATAAACAGGGAAAGGGACATTTGCGTTGTCGCTTAGCACACGCTCTGCACTCGTGCACTCCCACTTTATCTCATGTCATCGTGAGTTTGTGTGTCTCACCTGGTGGCACTGTGATAGGGTGCCTGACTCTTCATTAGAATGTCTTGATTCGGGGATCATCTCCGCCCATTACGCCAAGTTAAATAAAACTGGCACAGGTTGTCCTTTGAATATATTTATTCCTGTCGTAAAAATTCTAACCAATGAATGAGGGCCAAAAAAATGATCACCACCCCATGTCTGTTTAATCAAAGGGACACCAACCGATTTGCAATTATTTGTAAGTTTTATCAAGTTAGTTGTATATAATGTCAAGCTGTGAACATTTCCATTCATATAAAATATACACCAAAAGAGAATTCTTTTAAAGGACTTATTTGTATGAGAATGTTGGACGTGAACATGCCAAAAGTTGTCAACTGGAGTTTGCGCTTGCTAATTTACATTGGCACAAATAATTTCCCAAAATAAAGAGATAATTGTGCGTACCTTTTTATTACAGTAGTTGGGAGTTGTTCTTGGGTCACAGCGCACTGGATATAGTGCTTCGTCCAAGCACTTTTGGCTCTTGAGGCAGCTATGAAAGGTATATTATTTAAAGCATTTCATGCAATTTTAAGCAAATTAATAAAGCACCCCTTTGGGTATTGTTCATTACAACTATACAAATATTATGCCATTGATAAGGCTTCCGCTTAAACATATAACATTGGCAATAAACATACAAGATACCAAACGATTCGTTTTATAATATAAGTGAATCATTTGACAATTTTCCAGATGATCACACTAAAAAAAACTCCCTATGCAGGAAACAAATCACAATGAGGGCCAATAATCTTTCATGAACAGATGTTGCACCACAGAAAAGGAGGCGGTTATCAGGTCTCAAAGTCCCACGTGGAGAAACGCTGGTCTGCAAAATTTTATATCTGAAAGTATGCAATGGGCTCTCCCTTTGGAAGATACAATGATGGACAGAAGTAAATTATTTCTCTAGGCTCCAACATCCTCGAGGGGCAGAATCTTTCAGCAGATTTTAATACTTAATGAGCTAAGGTTGAGGAGAATCATATGCCCCGTGTATGTAGGATATGTTATAACATTTGGACATAATTCCTGAGGAGTGCAATTACTCTTTGACTCATAGTCAAATATTGATTTGTTCATTACAACACAATTGCTGTAAAAGATGAGAACTTTGGAGATTATAATTTGGGAATTTTGTTTTATTTGGATTCATATAGTCTAAATGCAGCCGTATCTCAAGACACTATAAAACAGAGACATGCGCAGAGGGCCATGTGCATGTAGTAGACCTTGTAGTGTGTATAAAAGTGCACACGACAGTACATTGCTAGTCTGTCAGGGTATATGCACTATCTATAAGTGACTCGAAACACTCGCTTGGGAGTGCCGTGATTGTACTGTGAATGCGTGTGTGCTGCTGTGCTCAGTTTGTGCCTCACTTGTCTACCCAGAGCACAGACACGAGCTTCACCCCGGTGCTCATCGCCTTGCTCCACGTGCTCTCAAGTCCATCCTTGAAGATGACGTGCGTGACATTTTTTGTAAACTTTCTGGACACCTGAGGAATTCGAAATGTGCATGGAAAAGTAAACCTGAAATGTGGCCAAAACCCATTCTCCTGAAGTGAAGTTACAAAACCTGAGTGACTCACTGCTCACAAAGTTTAAAATCTTATCAAATGAGCCAGTATTACTGATTTGAAGCTTTCGTTACTGCAGGAATCCATACTCTTTAGTTCTTTCGGTAAAGTCACGTCGGTAGAAAAATTATAATAGATCACGACGTTTCGATCTTCAGGTGAAGACGGTTGCTTGTGTGGCGATCGAAACGTCGTGATTGATATTAATCAATATAAACAGCCTCCAAGAACAAAAGTCAGTTTTATAAAATGTGCTATGTATATTAACCAAAGTCAAATATACTTGACAATGGATGTAGCTTTTTACATCTGTATTTAACAGGAACATGTTTTTACAGACCAATGAAGTATCAACATCAATTGTTTCTGGCACTAAATGGACTATTATGAGCATTATTAGAAGAATCCTAATACAGTGTATTCCAAATATGGTCATTAAAACTTATGCTGTTTTTATCACATACTGAAAAACAACAGCCTTTTGTTAAGAAAGCAACAAATGACAAGACATGTAATGTTATTCACCAATCAGGAAGATTAAATACTATTATTTTTTTAAACATTGTCACACAAAATTCCTCGATAATATTCCCTAAAGGTTGAAAATATGCTGTACTAACAACTCACCAATAAGTAAAAATTGTCCAAGTGTAATGCACCATTTACAATCTGTTATAAACCTGTAATTTTCTGCCTAAAGCTTCCCTTAACACATTAGGGTAATCATGTTACAGATTAGCATCTCGTTTATTTAGTATTGCAATTAACAAGTTAATGACAATAGCCATCGACGTCGTTGCTCCAGGCTGTGGAGCATATATAATGATCAGCTAATGCAGACAATATTAGATTCCTTATATATAGTTGTCTAGTTGTGTCCTTTCAGAAATTATTTTCTTTTGTTCAGCAAACATGTTATACACGACTTTTGTTCTGCTATATTTTTCTTGAGCACAAACTTGCAGATCTCTTTGTTAAGTTCTTCAGTAAATTTCTACAGTTCATTTACATTAGTCGTTATAATGACCATGTTGCCAGCATATCTTTTTTATCACACGGTATTTATTGGGGATGTTTGACACAGAATTATGCATGTGTTCATTGGAAGTAGTTTTAGATTTATTTATACAGGAGTTTTAGTCCATACTTTAGTGTGGCGAAGACAAAGTCTTTGTTTGATTAAAATTCGATCATTTGAGCAACTTTGTTATATACAAAAGGGTAAGGTATCAAGCGTAATAGAAACGTGAACAAAAGGCAATGTGTATATTGAATATATCTATACACAAGCATATACTGCCACCTACAGGAAACAATTAGTAAACTCGTATAAGACACGTTTCACGTTATAAAGGAATTCACACCATTTTTCTCTAAGCATCTAAGACTTGAATCCTGTAATTCTTTACTCTCTTAATAATTTTATTCTGGCAACGAATATCAGTACGTATAGAGAAAAGTACATTTTTATATATTGTATCCATCTGCTTAGTTCTGTCACTGATTATAATCTACTGTACCAATAGCTGTGTAGTACCAAAATGCCTCAATGCAGTATATGTCGTTTGAAGCAGTTATATGAACTGTGCTACTGTGGTCAATACGATGCAAATACGCGGATGATACAGTACTTACTGTTGCTCCCATCATCAGCAATTGCTTACTGAAGGCCCACGTGTAGTTATCCTCATGGTTGCTGGACCAGACATCAACATAGGCCACAACATCTGTAAAAAAGTGAACATGGTTATAAGCAATCATGAGTAACCTTTCACATAATGGCTATTGCAATGCTAAGGTACAGATTTCAGAAAAAAATAAATGGCAGCACAAAAGACAATATCTCAGCAAATAAGGTAAACCATGCCTGGCTGTATTGCACGTAAAGTTTTCTATTCTCAACCAGAATTTCATTAGTTCAAATCCAGATTTGTGTGATGAATCAGCCCATCATCATCATGACTCCTTAGGGGTCGATAAAATTTACACCACTTTGTGCGAAGTCAACAGCCCGGAATGTGGAAATTCTACCACTAGCTTCGAGCTGTGTTGTATATGGCCCTTTTTCCACAATTAATATCGATAATAACATTTGCCGATATATATTTCAATAGTAACCGAAATAAATAAATAACACCGCTACAACAAGGAGCAGCACACAGCAGATGAAGATCGTAAAAAGGGCGTTTAAAAATAAATAAATATTAAACTCCGGGGCAAACAGAGGTTAACGACTATCTGAAAAATCCCCAGATTGCCAAAGAACAGTTCACAAATAAATACCCAGAATCACAGACACGGACACAGAGCCAGGGCAAACAAACATTATAACTGATATTTTTTTTCTTCACGGAAAAAGTAAAAGCTTGGCTATAAGAATAAGTCTGTATTAGTGGCTTTATTACTTATTTTATTTCACCCTTATTCAACTCACGAATTGTTTCTTATTGTATCTCCTGTCTACGTGACTTTACCAAGAGAACCAAAGTACATGAGTTCCTACAATCACGAAAGCTTAAGTCCAAACTAAGCTATATATCCAACCTCCGGATATCTTAAATAACTCGCGAATAAGCACCGACCCATGGCGACACGGACTGAGAACAAAGCTTAGCAAAGCACGGAATCATGGTGGTAACATCTAAATGGTACATTACAAATCTTGGTTAAACATAAACCAAATAATAATCACGAGATTAGACCTGGGGTAATTCAGTAGAGGTACAAGAAATAGGTCAAACACACAAAGACCAGATAAAGTATTCCATGAAATCAGAGCCTCCCGGCCGTCTTTGTCTTCCCGCAGCGCGGGAGAGGCAGAATGTAACACCCTTCGAGATCAAAAGGAGGAAGGGGGCGGGAAGGAATTTCTCTTGCCGAGCAGCGTCCAGGACGGCGAAAAACCGGACAGACAGCATTCGATTATGTTTAATTAACGGAAAGTCCAAGGAAAACTTGACAACAAGAATAAGCTGACATTATAGGAATAATCTTGGGAAACATAAACCAAAAATGATAATGATGCAGGGTTAAACCGAGAGCCAGCCAGAGAGAGAGAGAGACTCCCTGCCGTCTTTGTCTTCCAGCAGCAGGAAGACTCGCCCCTCCCTCCAGATTGTATAACGCAGACAAAGGGACGCCTTCGGGACAATTTGGAGCATCTGTTTTTTGATGGTTTATGGAAAGAGGAAGGCAACGAACAGAACCATGCCATAAATGACACACACACAGACACACATACGGACACACACACTCCAGACCATGACACACAGCTAAATCAAAAGGAGCTCCACCCCTTGTAAGAAGGCGGAGCCAGAAGGAGAAATTTTAACATAAAAAGGAGGCCCGCGAGCATTGAAATCATCTCATTGGCCAGCGGAAGAAGACTGCGATCAACCTGGAGATCAACCCACCAACGCAGAAGAAGATTCTACAACTCGCCCAGAATGGCGAGACTTGTATCGTTCAGCCAGAGAGCGCGCAACCAGTGATCACCACGCCGACGGCGTACAACGGCGCCCGCTGCGAGCGGACGAGCTACTAGCGCCATCTACCGACGGATCATCGCATCTACAGCACCGTGTCAACTCGTCCACCTGCTGCGGGGCCGAACTCTGGTCGACCGCGTGAAAGAAGAAAAACCCCGCCATACGTATGACACTCTGCCCCGCACTGCCACCACATCACCAGGCGTCTGCTTGACGCAAATAATTGATTCCTAACACTGGCCCACTCAACCAATCCATATCACTCAAAACATACACGAATCATTAACAAGAAGCCTAATCCTCAAGTACGTGAACAATCAGTGGCCATGAAGGCATCGCGGCAGACCGAGTGATAACAATCCGTCGTTTATAAGTACATTATTTTTTTTCTTTCCTCCTTAATTCTTTTGTTTTGGGTTGTACTTCTAATCACATAAATTAGCAATAGATTCATCAATACGAATTAATCCTTGACACCTTCGCCACGGAGCTACGCCCACGGGGAAATATCGTGTTAAACTGGTTTCCTTATCATACAATCTTGTCCACGAATTAATTAATCTCCCGTGAGATAGCACGTCCCGCCGCACACCTTACTCCAAACCATTTCTTTAATTATACACTCTTGCCGATGAATCTATTGACGTATATTTGTGCCTTTGGAAATAATAATAGTTTGATTGCCTTTTCGTCTGAATATCGTTGCATAATATTAAGGACCTTTCACTCCTAATTGCCGTACCGGCTCGGGTTACTCTGCATAATAATCAAATGGTTCTACTACCCTGTTAACAATGTGACAAGAATTGCATTGAGGGTTGCATATGGATCAATGAATGAGCGCAGTACTGTGTGGCCAATTTCAAGTATACGAATTTGCATATTATAGTGTTAAGGTTTTTGTTTAAAATAACGTGCATGCATGTTTTAACGACTATTCCTAACACCAATTAAGCTCGCGTTATGCGGTGGAATTAATAATATGTGCAGTTGCCAAAGTGAAACAACGCAATCGTTGATGTTTACCGATGGTACTGTATTGATAATCCCAAGCCAGGAGTTGCATCTTCTAGAGTTAAGGCTTCGTTAGAAAATAAAATTGATTAACGCAGAAGTGGTTGCGTGTTTCTTTCCTGAATTTCGTGCTTAATAATCTTATTTAAAAGAACTGTATTCTGCGTTGAGATCTGAACTTGTAAACCTGACATAAACACACTAATACACTCAGTAAAGGTTAAAGCGATAATAATTGTATTACCGAGCGTTAATACGAAGTTAAACGAGTGAGTTACTCTGGCATGCTTGCATCACACTGGCATAACTTCATACGATTAATTGTATGATCCCAATTGATAATACGACTCTCGTCAGTGAGGCGGGGCCTAATTATCATAACGGCTTTCATTAGCATAATCAACCCACTCGCATAAATTAATACGATTATCTCCCGAATTTGCATATTGTTTGCGCATAATTACATCAATTAACATAATTTCGTATCATTACGCAATTTTCCAAATTTCATTTAATTTTTATTATTTTCATCAAAATTTTTACAACCGACATATACAACAGCTGCCCATATACATGAGTACTCTACTGCCACAATGTTCATGTCAGTATGGCAACATTGTGACTGATTTCATATTCTCTGGGCCTTTCGGTAAAGTCACGTAGAAAATAATAAAAAACTACAACTTTTTTTTCAGCCTGATGACGACCGCTTGCGTTGCGATCAAAACGTCGTAGTTTTGTTATTTTCCTTGAACCTATCTACGCGACTTTACCGAAAGACCCAAAGAATATGAATTCCTGCAGTCACGAAAGCTTTAAGTCAAGATGTGACTGGATTGTTTTTTACATATAATTGATTCATTCGTTGTGTCCATCTGACTAACTTAGATCATTGACGACCCATTGTGGGCATGGGCCCACACACGGTTTAGCAACAGTAGTGCTTAGATCATCAACTTCGCACCGCTGTTCTTCGGCGACACTAGAGCAGACGAGGCATCATCCGCTTTTCACCACATATGAAGACGTTAATGTTCTGGGCCTGGCTAAGATGGCCCCACTTGCTGAGGTTTGCTTTGTAGCAGCCGACACCAGTACAGAGACAGTTCAGATTCTTCTGACATGCAACATCTTTTTGTACAATATGGGAAACAAATTGCCCTCAGGTGGTTGCAGGTTTATGTAAATGTAACCTCTTGATGTGAACATTTATAATTCCTAAATTGTATTCCATGGCACAATACATTTGTTATTCTTGTTAATTACATTGGTAGACCAGTGTCATGCATGCTATATGCACAATTATTAACCAATATATCTAAAACCTTGCACTTGCTTGGCAAGTTATTTGTAATTTACAATCATTACAATAAATAATAATAGTATTGCAATACCTTTTAATAGATCAAAACACACGGTCTGGTTGTTTGGTTGGTGGCTTTGCTCTGCCAGCAGGTCTTCAGTAGCCAGGTCATCTTCAAATTCTTCAACACCATTGCTCTGCAGACATAAAAAAATGTAGATGACACTAAATCTTCACACCAAATTTGAATCTAAAATGCTGTGCAGCCTTGTTTGAATATAAACAATAAATGAAACCACTTTACCTGTGGCAGGCCCTTGTCCATAGCTCTCACCCAAAGGGACAGACTTTGGGCACATTACCAACCAGAATGCATCATTCCACACCTTGTCCTTTCCACTGGCTTTTGAGCTGCAAAATATGTTGACAACATACATGGAATGAGTGTAGACTCCACAGAGCATAAACATTTTGAGGGTACTTATTACATGTACAGTATTTGGTTATATTGATGGTGCAAAGGACTCATTAATTCACCATGATGGTGCTAAGGAACTCATTGGGCATTAATTTTATGGGAGTAATACCAATGATTAAGTAGTATTACTTCAATCCACTGCTGGATGAAAAGACTCCGCGCACGCAGTGCGGGTCGTGGGGGTTATTTGACTATACCTTACCATGCTGGTCAGTGCAGGTTGGTGAAAAGCAGGGCACATGGACTTGGAAGCATAGATTCTAGATTTAAAGCTTTCGTGACTGCTAGGATCCATACTCTTTGGTTCTATTGGGTAAAGTCACGTAAGTAAAAAAATAAAATAACAAAAATCACGACGTTTCGGCCACAACACAAGCGGCCTTCATCAGGTGAAGGGACGAGACTGTCTGGAGGACAGCGCTGGAGAGAAAAAAGCCACGCTCAGATCACGACCTTTAAGCTGTGTGAGAAGAAACAAAGCGCCTTGACAAAGGAATTAGCATGTAATTTAGCATTGAAATGGCTCATTGAAATAGTTAAGTTAAAGTATACACATCCGCAGAGGCACCCCTTGACAAAGGAATTAGCATAGAATTTAGCATTGAACTAGATAAGTGATTAGCTTGTAACTGGTCACAGAAATAGCTATGTTAAAGTCAGAGCATATACATTCAACGAGGCACCTAGTACAAATCAAACAGTAGCATTTAGCGAAACACAACCACGCTCAGACCTACGTGACTTTACCCAATAGAACCAAAGAGTTTGGAAGCATAGACTTTAAAGTACACAAATTGAGTTTGCAACACTGCCCTCTGCTGCCCACCACGGAGCCCTCGCTTTATGGACCGGTGGTTGCTCATCCAGAGCCATGTCCAGGTGTACACCTGCTTGGCTTCAGAGCTCCGCAATAATTTGATCATAGGCATCGCATCAATAATATGCACTCAAGCACTTTAGCAGCAAATACAAATCACGTATTAACGTGCACTTTAAAAATCATCGTATCCAGGGAGCATGTCTACCCCATTCAGCACAAGCAGAGCTCGTGAGAGCAGACCGGCAGCGACATATCTCACTTGTGACAACTGAAAAGCAACTGGCTACGTATTACAACTGAACGTCGAGTCTTGTAAATCCATTCGATGGTATCAGGAGTTGATATAACGGCTCTAAGTCCGGTTTAAAGCGGGCTTTGTTTAACCGGAACTCACGAGGCATTTCGCACGTCTGATCAGCACGGCTGGCTACGTACGGTACGAAAGAAGTGCAACATACGTTCATCTCCTGTACTCAACCGTGTTGTATATTGAATGGGCAGTGGGTCGGTTGTGATAGGCACATTGCACCTTCGCTTTCACACACAGTAGGGCGACTTCACAGCGCGACACGAACTGTCGAGTCAATCCCGAGAGGCAACGATTCCCACCTATCGTGAGCAACAACCACAACAAGAAAGGGTGGCACTGACGTGAGCCACAATGGCTGTGCAACACCGTGCGCGTGTCCCCCCCGGGTGATTCTCACCACGATGTCACGACTGGACCAGTTTCTCCGAAGGCCGAGGCGGGTATCCGCCTGCGATTTTTTCTCCAGGCCCAGACAGAGGTTAGAGGGCAAGGGGGGGGCAGGGCAAGGTGGACAGGCCCGGGCTCGCCCGGGTTTCGCGCGGCTGCCGGCGAGGGTCCCCGGGATGGAAGCGAGCCACGCAGATCGCCCCTCCAACTCTCACTCCGCCATGCAGATTCTCTTCCACAACGCACTGAACCGTGCTGGGGGGTGTTTATAATTCGTACAGCTGATAGGAATGTGCCATTTCAAATTGTACCGCTGATTGAAGTGTTCTTATAAATCATAGTCAATATAAACACGTCTGTACAAATTATACTATTAATACGTTTTTTTAAATCCTACAGCTAATAGGAGTCTTTATAAATCATACAGCTAATAGTATTATATTCTTGAGTCTTTCGGTAAAGTCCGTTAGATATGTTCAAGGAAAATAACAAAGACCCTAGAATATGAATTCCTGCAGTCATGTGTCTTTACACACCCTACAAATAATAGTATATGCATTTACAAATCTTACAGCTAAAAGAAACGCCATACACTTAAACTGACGTGGAATGACCGCGTTTCCACATATCGTTCAAGTAATAAGTACTGTACATGAATGGTTACATTGTTGGAGTCACATTTGCAATTGTGATTTGTTAATGTGATCCGTACCTGTGCATCAATAGTTCAGTATTCAGGTGTAATCTTATTGAGGGACTAGTGTGTGGTGTTATCTTGGTGTGTTCCGAGACTGTTTTTGCTGCGGTAAATTAAAATTGGTGAAAAACGTATTCGTGATCGTGTCAAGGGCTCCTCAAAGTGGCATTACAATATCGTGATCTTAATATAGAACGCATGGGAAATGTGTTAAATGTTTGGATTGAGGACCAACCACACAAAAAAGTGCAATTGAGTGGTCGCGCGATACGTGCAAAAGCACTGCAGCTCTTCAAGCATACTATGCTCAACAAATTCCGGGCAGAAGGAAGCAATTCACCCAAGCCTGCCGCCAGTTGTCAAGCCAGCAAAGGCTGATTTGTACATTTAAAACGGCGTTATAACCTTAATAACGACAAGTTTGTTGTAGGCGAAGCGGCATCTATAGATCATCAAGCAGCAGAAAGGCTATTTACCCGAGCAGGTTTTCAATGCAGATGAGATGGGATTATTTTGTAAGTGGATGCCATCCCGTAGCTTCCTCTCCAAACAAGAAACAATCTGCTCCCGGTTATAAGGCGGCCAGGAACCGAATCAACCTCTTGCTATGCGGCAACAGGAGATTGATTCATAAAGCCCCATGCTGATTTACCGATCGCTTAACCCTCGCGCCCTCAAAGTAAAGAGCAAGGATCAGCTGGCGATCCGGTAAGTAAGCGTGTGTGACTGCAAACTTTTTATTGACTGGATAACTAATCGCTTCGTTCATCAAGTCGAAAGATATCTGGCATCTAAGAATCTTGCATTTAAAGTTGTACTTATTTTAGATGATGCACCTGGCCACCCTGCAAGGCTACAGGCTGCCCACCCCAACGTGGAAGTTGTCTTCTTCCCTCCCAACACAACTTCGCTCCTACAGCCTATGGACCAAGGTCTCATAGCAATATTTAAGTCATACTACACCCGTCGTACATTCAAGAGGATCCTAGACCAGATGGAAAGCGACCCTTCTCTGGCAGTTACTGATTGCTCGAAGAGTATCAACATCGCTGACTGCATAAGTAATATAAAAGATTCGCGTGAACAGGTGAAGCCTACAACTTGGAATGCGTGTTGGAGGAAGTTTGGAGTTAAGTTGTGCATGACTTCGTGGGCTTCCCCTCGGTGGGTCAAGTTCAGAAAATAGTGAAACTAGCGCGTCCTGTTGGGGGCCAAGGCTTGGTGACATCCAGGCAAATGAAGTAGAGGAACTCCTTCAATCCCACCAAGACGAATTAACAGAGGAGTTGGATATGCTCACATGTGAGAGTGGCAATGAAGTGGATGACGAGGAAGATGTGACGGTGCCGAACCTACTAACCGCTAAGATGCTGGCAGAGATGCCGCAGATGAGAGAGGCCCTGGCTGACAAGATTTTTGAAATTGATCCATTCATGGAAAGAAGCATTACGTTTAAAATGATATTACAGGCTGCTATGGTGCCATTATAAAGAAACCGACAATGACCTGCAAAAAAAAACAAAGTCCACCATCACTAGCTGCTTTAAAAGGGTGGACAACACCACCGCTACTGCTGCAACCACCACGGCTGCCTGCCAGTCGGTCGTCACCCGACGAATCCACCAGCCCTGGGGTCGCCTTCCTCCAAGGATGTAAAACAACCGCTTTAGTTTTTTTATTTGGCATATATTGCATAGCAATTGTGAGGTCTTGTTTCTGGTTGCCGTGTACCTAACCCCATTATTTGTTAGAGAATACAGTACCGCGGTTTTGGCTATCGCAGCACTTTTCGAGAACGTACCGCACCGATATCCAAGGGGGGTCTCCTGTAAACATTTAAATACTGCACTTCGTCGTAATTACGACAGGGCTGTGAATGGAGACTTGGGGTGGTCTTCGTCCAGGATAGACATTAAGGCAGTAGCTATCAAACGTTTATGCGTAGGCGATGATAAAGAGGATCTGTGTCAATACAACATTCACATTATTATTCTTGCATTTGTTTCGATGCGAGGTTTGAAGTCGAGATGAGCATGGAGCCAGATGCCGAAATGCTTGTATATGGAAACATGTGGAACTGTTATATTCTTGGTTCTTTCGGTAAAGTCACGTTGAAGGGAAACAATAAAAAATATATAAAATATATAATTCTCACGACATTTCGACTGCAACACAGTCATCCTCAGGTGGTTTTCTCAACGTTGGTTTTCTCACCTGATGATGACTGTTGCAGTCGAAACGTCGTGAGAATTATATTGTTTTATATCTTTTTTATTATTTTATTGTTTCCCTTCAACGTGACTTTACCGAAAGAACCAAGAATATGAATCACTGCAGTCACGAAAGCTTTAAATAAAAAAAATGTGGAACTGTTGTGCTGCAGAGTGGTTATGGACAACGTGCAACGAGGCTGAGCTGTGGTGAGTTGAACAAACACTGACGTTCCTCTCACGTTGAGGACGCTTCCACGCCCCGTGCAACTCAAAGGGAGTCCAGACTCGTCGTCCATGCTAAGATAACGTCATTGTTCCATTAACTCAACACGTGTACTTGTAGGAAGCTTCACCGCCAACAGACTCATTCATGATCTCAACCCCCTTCTATCCTCTCTCCCGTTCCTTCCCGAACCTGCAAGAATCCTCCCTGTCTGCCCGCACCTCATCTTCTTCACCAAGCGCCTTCCTTCCTCCTGTACCCCCATTGAACCTCACAGACAATAACCCCATGCCTTCCAGCTACTGTAAGTGTAATCATTCATTACTGTGTTCTTATTCTTAGCTCTTTCGGTAAAGTGACGTTGAAGGGAAACAATAAAAGAATACGTCTTGAGAATTTTTATTGTTTTATATATTTTTTATTTTATTGTTTCCCTTCAACGTGACTTTACCGAAAGAGCTAAGAATATGAATTACTGCAGTCACGAAAGCTTTAAATCAAAATACTGTGTTCTTCTTACATTATCCTTACGCAACCACGGCAATAGTCGCCACATGACCGAGTCGCCCTTAAAAAAGGAGCTTCTTAGCTCATTTGGGCTTCATCTGGGACACATTGTACACTTCTCTTGAACGTGGAACTAAAACTCGCGCCTTCTGAGCCAATTCAACCAATCCGCGCGTGTTTAAATATCGTGCAATAGACACGCGCGGGTTTATATTCCATAGACCGGTGTGGCATAGGCGATTACATTTCGCACATTGGATGAGCGCCACGACCGTGCCGCAACCCCCACCCCGCGTCCAGCATGGAGAGGAGAGCGAGAACATCGCGGCTTCGCGACTAATACACGTCATCGTTCGCTTCGTACAACAGACAAATAAACAGAAGCTCACGGGGAAAAAAACAAACAAGCAACGCGAAATGGCGAGGCACAGGAGTGTGCGGGGATACAACTACGACGAGGGTGAGAGTGGAGAGGCGGCGAGGCCTGGGCCTGCCTAGCGGCGACCCCTGGGCCGGGCCTAAACCTGCGCAACATCAACATCAGTTATCATCACTTTGATAGCATCATCATTACCATCGTCACAGCAACATCACTTCAGCAACGTCGTCGACACCATAACTTAAATATAACCGGCGGCATCGTCTCATAAACGTCACTTCCAACATCGTCAACATCACTGCGACAGACACATCATCGTCGAACACATAATCGTCAACATCTCTCATCGTCGAAATCATCATCCGCGTCGTCAGTATATTGCATCAACATCATCGTAGCTTTAGTAGCATCATCATCAGCAGTTTCACAATTCATAATAAAGGATGTTTTGGGTGAGATCACGTAAATATAAATGTGACGTTAAACCCGCCGACACAGCCAATTAGTAAGGTTTGTTACGTAAAACGTGCCAATAAGTTATTACTTTAGCATACTGGTGTGTTGGAGAGTAAACCCACGGATTGTCGATGTGCTGTAGTGGCTAATTTACACATTTTGTTTACGTGACAAACCTTACTAATTGGCCCTGTCGGGTGGTGGCGGGTTTCATAGTTCATAGTTCCATTTATTTGGTATAGCCCTGTGAGCCATTCGGCTCTTGAATCGGGTGCAACCGCAACAAACAAAAAACATCAACAAGTAAACATCTTAAAGTGATTATGTGACTGCAAACAGAAAATCCAGGAAAAAAAACATCAAAATATTCCTGAAATAGCACCATACACCAACGCTGTGTTTAACGACACGCTTACACGATCTAACCCAAAACACCTTTTGTCGCGAAAGCCTAGTTGCCAGTGCTAATCGGTATCAGCAGAACATTACAATCGAACGACAATCAGCAGCAGTGCCATCAACATCACTGGCATCACGATTATCGACAGCATCAAATTCATCAGCGACACCAACATTAGCATAAGAATACTCAACAGCGGGAACATCGCAATCGCTTTCACAAATCATAATTACCAATATCAAAAGCATCGTCAGCAGCAGATTTTTATCATTGTCATAAAGAGTGTTTTAAAGACACCACACTTTAAGGTGCAGTTTTCAGGCAAGTAATCCCATGGGCCATTGCCCAGAAAGTCTGCCTGCTTTGGATCGGTGCTACGTTCGTGAAGTAGTATCCCTCTACACACGCTAAAGCTCATTCATTGAGAGTTGGTTGTTTATCATCTGCATTGTCAACATTACAATTCACCATTCTCAACACTGTCATCTGTTGTAAGAAAAAGCATGATCTTTACAATCGACCATTTAGCGTCATGGTTATTTGCACAGAAGCATTGTCACCAGTCTTCTTTATACCTTACAATCCACCGTCTTCAAATAAACTAGGGAATGCAAAAAGTACAACTTGGTATGTGATAGGGCTTCCTAGTTTTTTTGTGTCGTGACCTTTGGTTGTTTGACCGATGTGTTCTTCCTGATGTATTGCAGATTTTGAGGAGGATGACCTATACGGACAATCCGTGGAAGACGATTATGGAGTTTCACCAGCAACAGGTATCTTTTTTTATATTTTACTGATCAGAAATTTCCGCGACCTCTATGACATATAATGTAAACTGCATATAGATGGCAAAGAAGAGCATGACTGGTGCATTTTATTGCGAGTTTAAATTCTCAATATTCAGCTCTTCCTCCTTCTGGGGTCCACACAATGTACACCACTTCGTGGGCCTTCAACACCAGTTGAGTTGCGAGAAGAAAGCGCTTTGCCCATGGTTGTCTGAACAGAGAGGCACGTTTCTCATTATTGTCATGGTAAATTATATTCACAAAATGTACGAACATCACTTACATTTTGCTTACTGTCGGTGGACAGCCATTGTGTAACTATTGTATGTCTTACCATAATTACACGTTCATAATCGTAACCAATCAATCTTATTTTGCAGCTGCCCAGTTCATGTACCAGAGGGCTGATTTCCAGTTGGCAAATTTCGTGGATGAGCCACTAAAAGAAGAAGATGAAGAATGTGAAGAACAACCACCTGCAAACTCCAACACACTGAGTCTCAGCGACATCGACAAAGGTACAGGACCACTCATTGTTCGTCTTGTGATTGGGTATTCTGTGCTGTCAGAAGGGTCGTTTACATTTAGCTCTTCACCCAGTGGCAGTGGAAGCATAATATTGGGCCAGTGAAATGTGGGCACACCCCGGTTAGACGCCGAGTGACAGGGTGGAACTGGGAGATAGGGAGTGGTAGTATGTGCTAACGACCACATGACGTAATTTGCTCTTTGTTAAATATCTGGCTGTAATTTTGGGTAGAGGACCTTCGTGGTCTCAAGTAAATGCTTTATTGCTCCAGTCTGCTTCCCACTGCAGCAACAAGACATTACTGTAAAATCGAATTTCAACACAACAGATATAAAATGTGTACTGGTACAATATTCATATTTTTGTCATCTCTGTGCTGGCTTTAAAACATTGACATTTTATGGACTTTTAACCATGATGTTGGTGGTGTTTTTCCCTAGCACGCTTGCACTCTTGCCTTGAGGAGATGAGGAACATTGCCGGGGATGCATTCCCCGAGCCAGTGATGGTGCAGGCGGTTTTGAACAGCAACTTTGAGATGGAGAAAGCCCTGGATTCCCTGTTTTTGCAAAGTGACAAAACGCGTCCAGAAGTGAAAGAACAAAGGCTTCCCAGGTCTTCAAGAGGTAAGAATGGTTTGTAAATTAAATCTCAAGGTTATTTAGGCAGAATATATTTGCGTAGAGGTTTTTGAAGTGTAATGCAGCTCAGTTTTTTTGGTTATAGCTGATTTTCTATGGAAAGTATAGCATCGAATATGGTGGCCCAGACCCATAATCCATTGTTGTTGAGGCAGGGTTTCGTGTGTCATGATTATTTGGGAAACTCACAAACCCACTGAGCTGAGGTGGTCAGTAGATGGCAGTACATCCATTTTTAATGAACCCATCAATTTTAATCTGTTATCCCCTTTGTGGCCTCGTTCTAGATAAGTCAGTTTCCTTCCACATTACAACATTAATCAGCCGAACATCCAATTTTGGGAACCTCTGAAAAAGAGATTTGAGACTCAGTGGAAATGTTCATTTCATGTACAATAACATGAAGTCATGATAAACCAATTTAAAGTTGTGCATTTCGTTTTGAATGTATGCCTTTTTAATTCAATCTAATACAATCTTCAGTAGAGGTATTTTACTGGAAAAGGGTTTTTTCAGGTTTTTTTTGTGCCCGCACAAGTTCAATATTGATGGGAATCCATTACAATGTAACAAAAACATGCTCAGAATGTTTGTTATAAATGAATGTTTTTTATTTAAACAAACCATTGTAACATAATATACCGGCAATATTTTATTTTTATATTTTTGTCTTTTTAATTTTTAACAAAATGCCATTTTTATTTTCTCTTTCCACCAACCCCATCATCTTTCCTTCATGTGTTGCTGTCTGGCTGTCGTGATTGGTCTTCGACAATTGTCATTTGGCTCTCGTAAGGTAAGAAGCCATATCTGTACCTTTACCAGCTTGTACTGGAATTGACAGCAATGACACACCTGGTTCACTAGGAATGCACTTTGAACAGCCACCTCAGTCGTCTGACTTGAGTTGCACTTGTTCAGGAAAAGTAGACAAATCCCATGCTTTAAGTTCCGTACAATATTCCCATAAGCCATTGGTGTGCAGTCAATCTTTAGATTTACGCCACCTTCTGTCAGAAACTTACAATCCAGAAATAACAGGGACTGAGAAATCTGAAGAATTAAAGCAAATTTCAAAGGAATCAAATCAAATCAGTGGCCTATCGCTTTCATCCCTGTTAAATGATGAACAGCTTTTGCAAAATGCTGCATCATTCCACAATAAGAAAGTTGACAAGTGCTCAGAAAAAAACCTAAATTCTTCTTTCAAATCTTTACCATCAAATACTCAAAATATGTCTTTAGCTGAACTTGCAAAGGGACCCTTAGCTAGTGCAACTGAGGTAATGTCTTTGGAAAAGGATTCTTGGTCTCCTTTGAGTACATCAGGAGGCCTCTTGCTGTCTGCACTCGCCAACAATGTCCACAGCCCTTCCTTGACACAGCCGGTGGCCATCGGAACTATTAGCTCTAGCCAAAAATATCACAACGCCCGAGTGTTGTCCCAGAGTTTAGAATCAAATTCCTCAGATGTTATGTCCATTGGCCTAGAAAAGCTTATGCAACCTGTTGATGGCATGGGATCTTCTGAAAGTAGTTTCAGTTCATCTCCATGCCTCGGAGGGGCCAATTTGGGCAGTTTTCTACTCGACACACCAAGTCTTGCATCTCTGATTAACAAACAGGAACAAGCATCGCCTCCACAGATACAAAGCAGTACATCATCAGTGAGCAATGCCAGTGGTACTGGCAATAACAGCTTGTCAATCGGATCTTTATCTTTGGCAGATCTTGCCAAGCGGCATAATGAAAATTCCACACACACTCTTTTATCGTCACCTCGTTTGCGAGATTTGGCTCCGGGTTTCTCAAATGTAATGTCTAAATCAGCTTTGGCTGTTGATCTTAACAAATGTGAGCATCCATCTCAAGAGTCAATTTCAGCATCAGCCTTAAAACCTAAAGCAATTAAAGCTCTGCACAATTCAACTTATCCACTTAATGTACATTTAGAGAATGTGCAACCATATTCGGATGTAAAACAAAACATGCTCTGTAATGCTGTTTCCACTAAAATTATATTACATGAGACAAAAAACACAAAGCAGCAAACAGTGGGTAGTCGCTCCCAGAAAATATCGAGAACCAACAGAACACAGCTGTTCAAGAATCCCTCTGGCCTTGCTATGGCTCTTTGTTTCCAGTCACCAAACCAGTTACTGAGAGATAAAAGTAAAATCCATTTTCGAGCGTTTGAGTATGAGAGGCAGACTACACATGTGCATGTTAAAAAAGAAGATCCACTCACAGAAGTTAAGTTCTTTGACTTTGATGTGCCATCGCCAGATGATGTTGTGAAATGCCTCCAGAAGAATGCATTTACTCGAGGAGAGGTGGTGTAATATCATGCTAATGTTGGTACTCCTGGTTAGCTTCATTGACAAACTAACGTGGCTTTTAATAGTATGCCATACAAATGATTAATATAGTTTGTGAATATTTCAATAATTTATAGGACAGCTTGAGTAACCTTTTTATAATCGTACATTGAACGTTATTTTTTATTTTACCTGGAAAGGCCTGCTGAGCTACATGTAGCTCTTTTAAAGAAGCAACCTGGCCACAAATTATAGCTCAAAGAAGTGTTTATTAACGTTGAAATGTATAGCAGCCAAATACTCCTCCTAAACGCATAGTGAGTGGAGGGAAAAACCGTATGGCCCAAAGAAAAATCCACGTGAATATCGGGAGAACATGCAAACTCCAAATATACATGTGTCAGGGTTGGGATTCAACCCATGACCTGCACACTATTCGAGGTAGTTAAGATCTCGCCACCACGGCGCTCAAGTAAACACAATTTCCAAAAGAACAACTACAATTCATGCTTGGTGTATCTATTCAAATATTTTATAACAGTCATTGATTGATGGACTGCCTAAACTCAGGTTTTGGATAAGTACAGTATTGAAAGTTTTAAGTGGGGATTGGCAGCTCTGCTGGCAAAAAAAAATGTTTTTCATCACTGCATTTAGATGAACGTGGTAGTTGATATCCTGTATTTGTGTGTAATTACCAATGTATTAAAACAAATTCAAAAACATTGGCAACTGCATGTCCAGATGAGAATACTGAAATATTTAGAGTGTACCAAAAAGTAATGTTTGATCGAATGTAAGCCAGGCACAAATCCTGTCTATCAATGTACAGGGGTAAATGCTTGGATAAATAGAGCAACATACACCAGCACCCTCCAGGATTTCCACTTTTAAGTGACATGCTTTGCGCTATTGTTTTTTAGGTCTCGTTACAATGCTCATACTAATATACCTTCATTTATTATGCACTGATAGGTGTCAGTTGTAAAATATATAATTGGAAAGAAATCTATCAGACCACCTGAACAAAGGTGGTACAGTTATTCAACTGAGTTGCTATTTTAGTTACTTTTATGTACGTGCATATTGATTGACCACACAATAATTAATCTTCTTAGTATGTGTTCAAGGCTGTCATGAACATTAATAACCTCAAAACATACATCAGCAAGTTTAATCTAGTCGTTAAGTACATGTGGAATTTTAGTGTCTTTATACATTTTAAAATGCATTTTTAAAAACTTATTGGTAAAAAAAATGCAAAAAGGTTCATAGTGTATGTATGTTAACTTTTTTAACCCCAATTCTGCGGCAGTTAGTGAAGAAAGTTATTTAAATCTAGTGTAGGTATAAGTATACACTTTTTATTTTTGTAAATATACCTGGGCAAGTTATACGAAATACATTTTAAATTAACAAAGTGAATTTAGTGAGCTCTGCATTTTCATATTTTCGTAGTTTCCTTGAAAAAAAACTGTAGTTTTTAAATCATGAATACAAGAGGTTGGAAATAAAAACTCAATTTTAAAAATTTAACTAAACCATATCTGACAGTTGGTGTAGCTCACAACGATGAGGTGGATATATTTTTGAATTACAGTAAGTAGTAATACTTTTAGGAAACCTTATTTTCCTCTAGCAGGTAATGCTACTCGACTGCAGTGGTTTGGAAGCAAACTTAGATTGTTTCTTAATACACTTTCATCATTGACCAATTATATGCTACTATTATAATACACAAAAGCCTTTTTGAAAATACAACATTGCTACAATAGCGTTTTATCAACCACAGCAAACCATCCAAGCTTGTCCCTTATCAAAACACTAAAATGTATCGAGTTGAAAACAAAGATTGGTATATAATGACCAAGATCTTTCAACGTCCTGTTATAAAATTATGACAGTACTGTACTGAAAACCTCTAACTCCACTTCTAAAATTTAATTTTGGTTTGTTAAATCATCCAGTTTCTCATGTGGTTAGAACAAATGGTTTGGTGTTTGTATGCTTGGCATGTATACAGATGTACAAAACGGTAATTAAAAATAATCACTGACAAAGCCATCATGAATCTGTTAATGTTAGAAATGACTCTTGTGTAATCTTGTTAATTGTAGTGCTTTAGGAGAGTTTTGTGACCTCTGCCAAACATGTTTTGTTTTAATGCAATGTATAAATATTTATAATTCTATCAATTATTAGAAGTGCTTTTGTGAAGCTTCAGTTCTTCAGTGTATGGGGTCTGATTCTCACTTGGTGAAAGCTCCTTTCAGCTCAGGCTTGTGTGACCTCGTGTGTGGGCCTGAGGAAAGGCATTTGATCAATATGTGAATTGAAGCCGAAATGTTTAAAGTGCAGCTCTGTGATATTTTGTATATATTATGGGTTTTTAGATTGTATTGATGCTTCAGTATTTTTAATTATGTTATAACTTATATGTGTATTCGTGTGACTGTCATGTCTCGCTTCTGGCTGTTTTATACCTTTTAATTCAAAATACTAGTTGAATAAAACTTCACCAAGGCTAGGCTCAATATTCTTGATCTTAAGTGGATCTTTAATTTACTTTTGTAATCATATGTATTCTTTTCTTGCAGTACTGTTATTTAAAAGTAATGGGATGTGATTGAGTGGCTTTTGTAACATTGTTTTAATAAAGACTGCAGTTGATATTACAACATTTAGATATGCTTGTGTTACTGCAAGCCTGTGTGTAGTTGGCTGGGTGATCCTGGGAAAAAATATAATCTCATCAGAAAGCTGTGGCTTTAAAACTTGGTTTGGGTCGACTCAGCCCAACGTCTGTCATGGGTGAAGAAATAAGTACCACTTTGTAAGAAGTCAGCAGTGGTTATTTATATGGAGAATGGCCTTTGCTCTGGTAATGGAATATTGGCGCCACTGGCTGAGGGCCGCCAACAGAGATGAGTACTGCCCCATTGCTCACTTTAATGTGCCTGGGCATTACAACAGTGCATGTGGATGTACTGTACACTGAATATAATTTATACTGAATAAGAGAATGTGTACATGAGGTGCGGGGATCTTTTTTCTTACCGAGGGCCGAAATAGGCCTTAAAATACCCTTACCAGGCCACCCATTAACAAACTCTTTAACGACTTATGTCACTTCAAGACTGACTGTGCTAAACATAGTGTTGCCAGGTCCAAATTATTCCTCGAGTACCTGGTTAGTGTGACTAAGATACACAGATAGATAAATGTAGATTGTTTCAAAGTGGTAGTCCTCATGTGGCCATGGGTCATATGAAATGTAGTTTCAGGCTATAGGCTCCCCATCCCTCATCTACAGCAAGCTGGTTATAGTCGAGTTTGTATTCATTTCAATCAGATTTTAAAATAGATAGCCAACTCAGGCCAACAATCCATTGTCATACGTGAATGGTATCAATAGTTTTCTTAATAATTTCCTGAGTTGTGAAAATATTTTTGGGCTGCATAATGGCCTTGAATTCTGGAACCATTAAGTCAGTAATTCCCTGTTTTTATAAAGCAAAGTTGATTTGGTAACAACATATAACTAGTATTTGTAAAAAAAACTAATGTTGAGCAGAGATCTCTGTATATCAACCATTGCTGTAATGGTGTACTGCAATGCACAGGGAGGGTGGGTTTGTTTTTTCGTGTAGCCTTGTTGAAATAAGTTTGGGTAATGTAAAATCTCTAAAATTCTGGCTACCGGATACAGGAGAGTGTGCTGCCATCCAGGCTTTCAAATTCCCTTGGCATGTAGAGGTCCGTAGACGAACATAGAGCAGGGGGCATGCACCCCCCAGCCTTGTGAATGAAGGCGAGGGGACTCCAGCGAGGCTGTGATGTCATCAGAGGAAGCTCTGGCACTGGGCATCAAAGTCCACGTGACTAATGTTTAAAATATGTTTTTCCAATCATGAAATAAACTCCTTTACCTGTTTCTCAAACTCACCGGTCGGCTTCTGATACACAACCTGGGTTTGTGTCTGCAAACATGTTAATTTAATTTGTAGGTTTCGCCTTTTAAATATGAAACTGAGTGTAAAGGTTTTGTAAATTAGGCTTATCAATATGACAAGGCTTTAGAAAGTGAAAGTAGAGTACATATTTATTATGTCAGTGAGTTTTAAAATACATTATTTTGTTGTTTACTTAACCGGTCCCCTCATATCTCGTTAAGTTGGATTTATTTTCGTAAACGGTGGTTGTCCTCACGGAGAAACTGCCCTCCGCCACTTGAATGTGGAAATGTACAACACTGGCTCAAAGCCACTAATTGGAATGAGCACTGACCCAATGGAGATGCTAATAATTTTAACATTAGCAAAAATAGATATGCTAATGATATTGTTTCAATCTACATTTTGTGTGGCAGCAGGGAAAAGAGGGGAGGCATCGTCTGTCTCCAAAGCAGAGTCTGACATTGTACCAAAAGTTGCAAAGATGACAATATCAGGAAAACAGACCATTGGATTTGATGCCTCAATTGGCAGGTATGTGTGTTACTTTAGATACATTTTCATTTTACTATTTTACGTAGAAATTTTAACTGTGGTTTTATAATTTTTAACATGTGTTACATGCAATGCATTTACAACTACAATTTTTAATTCACAGTCCAAATGGCCAGATTTCAAATACCTCGAATAAGGAGTCCCATTCCGAATCCGTTCAAAGCACTTCTTCTGCAGCGATGTGCACAAAGCAAACGCTGCTTTCTGAAGGTCCCACGTTGGTGTCAAATCAGAAACTGTCTCCTAAGCCCCCTGCCAAAATGGGTCTACACACAGAAGACACACCCACTGGGACAGTGACTTCTGGCAAGCAGGCCGGAAAGAACCGTGCAAAGCTTGATGTGAAGTCTGAGCTTGAGAAGAGACAGGGTGGCAAGCAGCTCATCAACCTCGTCGTAATAGGTAACACGCACCAGTGAATCAAATGATAACAATGCGAATTAGATAGAAAAATTGGGCAAGGCAACGAGAGAGGGTATCCTATGAATAGACTAGCCCCTGCCATCTGAAAATATGGAAATGTACACCAATAGGGTTGACCATTGAACCTTTTCGCTTGAGCAGGAAGCACCGACTTTGTTGGAAATTTAGATCCTCAACATGTAATTCCTGGCAAATTGGATTGTAAAACAACCCATGTGAGATATGCAAAGTAATATTTTATTTTATCTGTTGGGTCTATAAAATGATGTTGCGAATAACACGTTAATTTAGGAAGAGCAATGTTTTACATAGTTTCCTTGCTCTTTGGTTCTTTCGGTAAAGTCACGTACCGAAAGAACCAAAGAGTATGGATTCCTGCAGTCACGAAAGCTTCAAATCAGTTTCCTTGGTTAAAGTGTTGTTGATATTAATTTACATATACGATAGTAATGCGTTAACCAGTGCAATCTTTTTCGTGTGCAGGCCATGTTGATGCTGGTAAGAGCACACTAATGGGGCACCTTCTGTATCTGCTTGGAAATGTCAACAAGCGGGCAATGCACAAGTATGAGCAGGAGTCGAAAAAAGCTGGCAAGGCTTCCTTTGCCTACGCTTGGGTTTTGGATGAAACTGGCGAGGAGCGCGAGAGGTCACAGCATTTCACCTCCACAACTCCACACTGCCACAGCATGCAATACATTTTTTTTTTACAATCCTTGACTGTTAGTCTGCATTTTTTAAATGCACATTTATTTATTTAAGGATTTTTTTTTGTTTAACTCTGAGAGAACTTAAGAGAGCAGGGTAGTCTCATCTTTCAAGAGTGACCTGCGTAACAGTTGCTGAGCACAGGTCCAAAGTTGTAATCAGAGGATGTATATATAAAAAAAAATCATACTGCTTATAAATACCATTATTTTGGAATTGTGAAACATTTTATTGTAAAACGACTGTTCTTCACTATTTTAGAGTATATTTAGTGAAGCAGTAATAGTAGGGTCTAGTTTGAGCCACTTGCTCAGCTGGCTATACTAGAGTAGGACGTGCCAATAAAGTAATTTGTGCTGAAAATAGTTTTGCTTGTAAGTTGACTCTCTCGCAGTGACCACAGGTGAAGCTGGCACACTGCCTAAACCGAAATTGGCTTTTTTAGAGAATGGAAAGGGCTAGACACCCTGACTCCTGTGAAGTCATAGACGTAAAGGATCTCACTGTTGGCTCATCATTAAATGTCATTCAATCAATGACCTCTGTTTAGAACTAAGTTATAGCCCATTGAGACCAAAGTCACTTTAGCATGGGAGGCAAGGCCTGATGCCTAGACAAGGAGGAAAAGTCCACGGTGCAAAGATGAAATGAAGCGAGGGAAAGTAAAAAAATGTAAAGGAGCATGCGCAATTATTCCAATTAAATTCCATACAGAGTAACAGAAAATATGATGCATAGTAAAATTTACATTAAACAATATATTTGAAGATTAATTTGGTGAATTTAGAAGATAAATATTGACAGTTTATTTGCAGCCATGCTAATGTGCGCATGAACAACCATGAGCGGTCGTATAATGAGCTTTCCCACTTCATTAATTTGAATAACAAATGCATAAGTTCACAAGAACATTTTCTACAGTTATAAGGTGTCAATGTTATGAATTACGTAAATAGTAATGCATTTATAATCGGTTTAAAACTTGTGTTTTGTCTTCATGTTTTCATTGTAGAGGTGTGACCATGGATGTGGGCCTAACCAAGTTTGAAAGTAAAACGAAGCTGGTGACACTAATGGATGCCCCCGGGCACAAGGACTTCATCCCAAACATGATCACGGGAGCTGCCCAGGTACACAAATGCCCTATCCTTTTTCCTATAAGATATTAAATGTCTGCTGGACTCAGGCTGTTACTAGGCCATTCACACGTTGACTTGTCAATGTGATGTTCAAACTGGGCCCACAAAATAATTAGCTTGTCAGACTCCCGTGCTCTGGAGATGCACACAATATACAATAAGTATTTATGTTAAACTTCTTCGCACCGTACGTAGCCACCTGTGCTAATTGGAGGTGCAAATAGTGTTGACTCTATTCCCTGGCCACCCTGGGAGACCCATTATGTCAGGCACCACCAGCCCAGCTCTGCTCCCATGATAACTGGTTGTGAAGATGTGTGTTCACCAGTTCTCCTTGGCTAACATTGCGTAGAGGTTGGTGTGACATGGGATCACCGCGTGCACGTGTTGTGTGTGACAGGCGGACGTCGCTCTGCTGGTGGTCGATTCGATCACGGGCGAGTTCGAAGCCGGCTTCGAGGCGGGAGGGCAAACGAGGGAGCACGCTCTGCTCGTGCGGTCGCTGGGAGTCACCCAGCTAGCTGTCGCGATCAACAAGATGGACATGGTAAGCGGAGCAACTTGATAGAAACCATTTGTGTCGCTTCACCTGAGAGTTTGAATTGAGCTTTGAATTCGTATTGCTCCATTTGAAAACGTGAGGTGTAATTTACTTCCATGACCAATGACAATTTTGTCACGAACTTATTTCAGTTATTTGTCAAAAGATCTATAAGGAAATAAAATGATGTACTTATCAATTTGATGCAAATGTTATAATTTTTGTTTGCTTGGTAGCTTATGCCTGTAATCCAGTAATTTGAAGGGTAGGTTAGATTATTGAGAGATCACTGTGAGAGATGACCAGGAGATGGCAGCACAACAAATGGGTTTCTTAAACATTTAACTCTGCTGTGTTATCCTCTC